TAACATTAGAATATAAAAAGATAAAGTAGATAAACGATAAAAGAGATGAGACATCAATCGTCCACACGGATGTGCGCCCTCCACTCCGCTCTCTCCAAAGTTATACTCTCATCCAACCCAAGAAGACGCATATCAGTTTTGATTCCTCTAACCAAGTCTGTTTACGTCTTCCCTCCCTCTCCTCTCTGCCTCTTCTCCCCACCCCTCAAGTCGTCTAAAAGATGCATCACTCGGTCTTCTACGCACATGCCCAAACCACCGCAAATGAGACTCCTGCATCTTATCTTCTATAGGTGTTACTCTCACCTTTTGTCTGATTATCTCATTTCTCAAGCAGTCTTTTCTGGTATGTCCACACATCCAACGCAACATACATGTCTCTGCCACACTCCTCTTTTGAATGTGGCATTGCTTCACCGCCCAACAGTTTACGACATACGTTAATGCAGACCTAATTGTTGTACGATAAAATTTACCTTTCTGTCTAGTCGACATACCTCGATCTAGACTTGGACTCGGGCCGGGTCGGGCCCGGTCGGGCCGCCGGTTCTGAATAGATGGGCCCGGGACCGGCCCGGGTACCCACCGGGTCCGGTCCGGGCCTATTATCAATTTTTTCCCCTCTTCCTAATTAACCCCCCTCCCACCCCCAACCCCCCAAACCACCCCCAAATGGCCCAAAATACCCAGCCCAACCCGAAAATTGAAAAAAAAAATTGAAAAAAAAAAATCAATTTTGGCCTGAACCGGGCCCGAGCCTTGTTTTGGGTGACCCGAGCCCGGACCGGAAAACTCACGGTTCGGGCCTACCCGGACCGGTCACTGACCGGGCCACCGGGTCGGGCCGGGCCAGAACAGTACCGATCCCGGGCCGGTTCCGGGTCAGGCCACCCGGCCCAAGTCGACCCCTACCTCGATCGCATAGAAATCATGATGCACTCTTCCATTTCATCCACACAGCTCAGATTCTATGGCATACATCTCCATCTAATTCACCATCCTTCTAAATTATGGAGCCCAAGTAACGGAACATATCATGATCCGGTATCCCCTTACCATCAAGAGTAATCCCACTGTTGCTACTACTTCTACCTCCACCAAACTTGCACTCCATATACTCAGTCTTGCTTCGGCTCAATCTAAAACCCTTGGTCTCCAATGTTTGTCGCCATACTTCCAACTTTGCTTTAACACTGGATTGCGTCTCATCAATCAATACAATATCGTCGGCAAGCATCATGCACCACAGTATATCTTATTGAATTGAATTCGTTAGTTCATCCATGATTATAACAAAAAAGAAAGGACTCAGAGCAGATCCTTGGTGCACTCCGATAGTAATAGGGAACTCTACAGTCTTCCTTACACTAGTGCGGACACTTGTAGTACAAGCATCATACATATTAATAACCTATATTATGTTATTTCAAGTGCATAGAACTTTTGTAGCTAATGTGAGGTGAACTAATTATAGTTCACTTATGCAACCGTCTGTTTTTATTCATTTAAATAAGCCAATAAGGTAGTTAGGCTATTTTCTTAATTTATACAAATACATACATGACAGTATGACACACACTTAACTGCACATATTTAAAGTTGTATATACATCCAAACATTCCTAAATAAATAGGATAGGACAAGTTAATAACCTATATTAGGTTATTTTAAGTGCATAGCACTTTTGTAGCAAATGTGAGGTGAACTAATTATAGTTCACTTATGCAACCGTCTGTTTTTAAATAAGGTAGTTAGGCTATTTGTTTAATTTATACAAATATATGACATAAACTTAACTGCACATATTTAGATTAAATATCATATTAGTTATAGGGAGTGTTTGTAAATGCTTAAATAAGGCAAAAATTCCACTTTTGATCCCATGACTATTATACCACTTCCACATTTAGTCCCTTACTTTCAGATTGTCCACATTTAGTCCGTGGTCATTATCTCCTCACCAGTTCTCATCCTTCTGGTCAAAATTCCGGCAAATTTAGTCCACTTATCAGCCTCAGAATCAGTCTTTGCATTAAATTTTATATAAGGTTGGGTTTTTCATATCAGTCTTTGAATAAAATTTGGTTTTTCATACCTAAAATCTACATTAAATTTGTCGGAATTTTGGCCGGAAGGACGAGGGGTGGTGAGGAGATAAATGGATAATGTTCACGGACTAAATGTGGACAATATGAAAGTAATGGACTAAATGTGGAAGTGATATAATAGTCACAGGACCAAAAGTGAATTTTTTTCCTTAAATAAGCAATTTAAACTTTTAGCCTAGAAAAATTAAATTTAGTGTTTTCAAACACATGCTCCCCTTGTTTGTGTGTCACGGTGACCAGAGTTCTCAGGTACAACCATACCCAAGGATTCGAGGTAATTTTGTTTGGCAAAGGTTAGTGAGCGATTTTGGCTAATCTGGGAATTCACATGCGATGAAGCTTGTACCCGATTAGATTTTTGGACATATTTTGCTAGGCGATGGAGTCTGGGGTGATGCTTGGAAATTTTACGTAAATGAGAAAGGCGTGTTTCTGTACTTCAATACAATATTACATAAAAAGACTTTTTTTTTATCAAACATTCTAACAACTTTTTCATCAAAATCAATTCGTAGGTGAGAGAGAAAACAAATGAACCATTACGAATTGTGATGTGGATTGACCACTTAGGCCATAGGGTAGGCATGGACTCGGTCCCGATCCGAGCTGATTTCGGTCTCAGACTGGTTGCTCTTTGAAAGAATATATAGAAGATCGGTACCGGTGTCTCTATTTTCGATTCCCGACGGGTTCCAATCTCCAACCAGTCTTAGTTCCAATCCCAGCTCAGTCTGGTCCCGGAATTTTTATTTTTTTAGTACACTTTTAGATTCTGCGGCATTAGGATAATGATGATGAATTGATGATGATGAGTACACTTTTAGATTCTCTATATCCCTTTCCACCCCCATTTACACCTCTTTTAAACTTTTAAATGAATCTTCAACCCTTATGAAATGTTTTCCAATGATTTAAGAGCAAAAACCAAAAATAATAATAATTTATTCGCCAAGTATCTTGTGGTCTAATGACATCTCTGCTGATCTCCCAAAGAGGAGGTCGCAGGTTCGAGTCTCATCCCAATCAAGAATGTTGGCATTAACAAAAGCAGATACTATAATAGGTTTAGAAGAATGTTCAAAAATAAATGATTCCGGTTTAGAAGGAGGCCATGAACCAGGACCTCTTTCCAATCGGTCTGGTTCCTAACCTGGATCAGAACCATATTTTTGGTCCCCGTTCAAAACGCCATGTTTTTCGCCCGGTTCCAGTTCCGGGACCAAATTCACCCCTGCATTAACGTCTTATAGGTTACGGCAGATGAAGAATGTTGCGTAGAATGGATACATTCATACATCTTGCGTTCTGGTAGCGGTTGCGTACTTGCGTTCAATCCTAATTTGAACTTTTTTCTTATATCGTCAACTCTATTTTACTTTATCTGAATATAAGAGCCCGTTTGGTAACACTGAAATTGGTTGAATTGATTGATTCTGGTGAAATATGTGAAGTTTTAGCTGAAGTAGTTGTTAATAATAAATCAAATAAAAAATTATATGAAAAAATAACTAAAATAATCCTCTACAGTAACTTCAACCAGTACAGTCAGAAAAGTAACTCTAACCTTACTTTTTATTATTACTTCACATTCAACGCGCGAAAGCAAAACTTACGTGTTTGGTGAAAAAATTGACTGATAAGCTCGATTAACCGAAAAAGTGCATACTTTCGTAAAGAGCCTACCTGAACTCCTGAGTCCTGAAGCATAGTACGACGTATTATTTTCTTGCTTGTTGGAGTAAAAAAAATGAACAGTGGATAGTAGGTATGGACCGGGCCCAGGTTGACCAACCCGTTGACCATCCTGGACCGCTACTGTTCTGAACCAGCCCGAACCACAAGACCCGGATCGGGCCTTGCGCCCAAACCGGAGGTGGTTTTGGGGCGGGCTACGGGCTGCCATTTTGATGGATTGGTCCGGGACCAGTCCGGGTCATTTTTTTTTCAACTGGATTGGGTCATTTTTTGTTAGGCTCTTTACGAAAGTATGCAAAATGTATTTACCTAGCCGAGCAGGTACCAGGCCTCCAGTTCCCAAACCCGGTCCCGCCCATAGCCCAACCCGACCTGGGGCTCAGCCCAACCCGGTACTGTGCTGGCCAGACCCAGCATGGCTATTTATGGGGCAAGCTATGGGCCCTAATTTTAGTAGACCGGCCAAGCCGACCAAGGCCTGATCCGGGCCATTTTTTTTAATTTTTTTTGGCGTTGGGCAGCTGCTAGGTGGGTTGGGCTGGAAGTTTTGTCAGGATTTGGGGGGTGGTTGGAATAAATTAAAAAAGAATGATTAAAAAACAAATTAACCTGACCCGACCCCAAAGCAAGCCCGATTCAAACCCAGGCCGGTACCGAACCTTCATCCCAAAACCCTAGTCCCACCCAATCCTAGCCCGTCCATGCCTAGTGGATAGTGTTAAACGGTTAATAATACTCCATATCATTTTAAGATTCTCACTTACTTTTTGGAATGTCCCACTTAAAAGTTTTCAAAAAGACAATTCAATCAAGTATTAAAAACAATACATCTACGATCATCCTGATTATTATCAATGACCCCATTATATTACGGTAGATTCTATGATACCCATAAGGTACCATACCTTTGTCCACACGGACTAATGAGAATGTAGCAGTTGAATTATTTAAATCTAAATTAAAAATGATAAAGTGGTGTGGTCCAATCAAATGAATGGTAGATACAGTACCTCATTTTTTAGAAAGGTACCGGAGTTGTCACCATATATTATACTAGTATAACTATCACAATTATTTCTCAAAATATGCTCAAATTTTAATGTTTAATTATTGTCTAAATAAACGTACCATTTTGAAATGGGAAACTTTGAACGGTATGAGGTACTATATTTTAATTTATTCTGTTGGAAAAGCAAAAAGAAAAGACGGTAAAGGATTTGATTAATTGAAAATTAAGTTCACAATGATCAATTGGAACTCTCTCATGTTTGAGGTCGTGCTTGCTAAAAAAATCTAAAGAAAGATAGATTTAGTGGAAAAAGGGAGAAAAACACAAATCCAAGTAAATCTTGACCACTTCATCATAATAAACCAAATTCTTTGGACTAAAAAGTATGTACACCTCAAATACCACTTGGGGGTGCTGCGAGAGTTGTGACACGGATACAAGCTGCTTTGGCCGCTGATAACAGATGCAACAGGAAAGGCTATGCTGCAAAGGTTCACGGAACTAAATACAAGATACGCGAATGGAGAACTTAGATGTTAATTGTGGCGTCCCACAACCTAAGCATCCCATTGCGCCCGCCACTGCAAATCCTTTTCCTTTCAAGATCTGAAGCAATACATCGTACCTGGACACAACCAGCAAATATTTATCCTCATGCGGTCCATGCTATCTATAAAAGTTATCTTAGAAAATTAAAAAAGGCTTAAGGGTCAAATAGGCCCTTGTACCGGTCGTGTAAGCTCAATTCAGTCCTTGAACTAAAAAAAGGTTCAATTCACACCCCGAATCGACAAAAAATGATTCAAATTTCATTTTTTACGGGTAAACAATCGGTCATTTTTTTAATTTTTTAATTGTTTCTATTTTTTATTTTTGATTTATTGCAATTTGATACTTTTTATTAGTTTGGTGCGAATTGGACCTTTTTTACCGGTTGTTTAACCTTAAAAAAATGAAATTTGAACTCTTTTTTGCCGATTCAGGGCGTGAATTGGACCCTTTTTTAGTTCAGGGAATGAATTGAGGTTATATGACCGGTACAGGGGCCTATTTGACCCTTTAGCCATTAAAAAAAGACCGAGTTGTGATAAAAACATGTAAAGCACACCACCCAGCAAAATGAAAGGGTGAATAAAAGAACCATCAGGTAAACTGGAAATGTAAGCCTACAAACCATAGCAGGTGTTTTCTGTGGAGTCCTGTACAGCTGCCATCCAGCGGTCTTAGAGCCAGTGGCAGATAAGGTACCAAGCCTCTCTTGAGGTCGATGAAAGAGAGACATTGAATTATCAGCTGCCCCTACTCCTAGCCAGTGTTCTCCAGCATTTATGGATAATATGGAGCCGGTGTGAATTGTAACATTCTTCACACATCTGGCACCACCTATACAGCATGACAAATAAAAGTACTAATCATGTCTGTGTGCAAGTACATATGATCATACGCAGATCACTTCACATTTTATGCCAAAATCCTTCCTCGGGAAGTACACATGCACGTTTTATGTCTAAATTCTTCACACAATTCACTGAAATACCATCGTAAACCTAAAAAAACACAAGAAATAACAAACTTAAACCATTCAAGCAAACAGACCGTTTTATAATTGCAACAGAAGACAGTAACTTGCAATCTAGTACGTATGAAAGACTACTTGGATATCATCTTTTTGTAACCACCCAAGCATGCCAACAACCACCTATATCACAGACCTCTTTAAAAATCCTACACTACTTGCAAATTTATCTGAGAGTTCTAGACCAAATAAAACAAAAATAGGCAACTAATATGCTATGAAAGTTTCCTACACACTGCCAGAGTACATATAAAAATACCTTAAGTATCTATAAAAAAACAATGACGAATAACGACAACTCACTATGTAATGAATTTGAAGTAATTTTAAATGAAGGGTGAGTTTGCAGCCACTGGAGTCTATCCCAATGACCCCAGAAGTTCTAGAGTTTGAACCCACAGGACCTTCCACATTGGCAAAGTTAGAAAATCAACTGCCCCACTTTTTTTTTTGAATTTGAACATTATTAATGCACTACATTCAACACATGAATTTAAAAGACATATTTTGTTCATAACTAGATTGAACTCCTCTATGTTGGTCACTTAAACAGTTCTGTTTGGTTTGGCTTACATGTTGTTGACTTGTTGCCATTGCCACTTCTCAATATGTCCATTAAAAGGTAGAAGATGCGTACTTTCATATTAGAAATATGAAGAAAATATCATGTACATATAAATCATGTAACCCTACCATCATCACATTCCCAGAACCGGAGAAGGCCATCAATTGAACCTGAAATTTTATCATCCCACTTTAGAGTGAAGTTTATGAACTTTACAACTGAGGTTTTGCACAAAATAATAAATCTTGAAAAAATATATTTCAAAAGACAAATCAAGAAGTGGGCCATTAATGAGTTACCTGTTATTATCCCTTTATCCTGCACAGAGTGCTCCACACATAGGATGGTACCGGCATGGGAGGCTAGAACTGCATCACATGTCCCTCGAGAAACAGACCACATCCGTGCAGTCCAATCATCACTGCCAGTAATCACCACATCACCAACCATTCTAATTGACCTGTTTCAACATTTTATTATGCAATAACTATCAATGTGATGCTTAAGTGGAAACATGAAATATTGCTAAATCTGCTTACCTAATCCATTTAGTGTGACCTACTAGCTTGTGCATCTGCCTTCCTGCACGAATGTCCCAAATGTTCGCAACCCTTCAAATACAGGTTAGCCACATCAAGTTTTGTTTGTCAGGGAAATATAGATATTGTAACTGAGTAAATAGAACGAAAAATTCAGAGCATGATTCGGAAAAGAACAAATCTTAACATTACATCAAAATCTTAAGCAACATACATATCTCTTCCTGCAGCAGCCAAGATTCCTGTTGAATCATCATATTCCATACAGAGAACAGCACCTGGATAACGACCCACAGTAGCCACACAGGTGTCGGTTCTCACATCCCACATCTTTACAGTTCCATCATGAGCAGCTGTAAGAACTCGTTCACCTGACAACATGCGCACACAGCTGACCTACATGATTCATGGCCATGACTAGTCACTAGAATGTAGTTCAAAATATCGCAAACAATGAGAGAAGCTATGTTTTAGCTGGCAAGATATTGGAGAAAAAGACCATTTTTAGTAGAACTAATGTAAAACCCATTATATAGGAATGTAAGAGATTTTCCATCATTTTCAATGGATCCAAAGACTCATTATTTTTTGGCTTGGGAATATGATGGAATAAAGCAAAATGGCTCACTAAACCGTCTGCGCTTCTTTGTAATGAAGCAGCAGTCGGTCAATGCAATTTTGGGCGTGATTTTCATCACGAGTCATCCGGAAATAGTCTTTGTACTTTACCAGAGTGGTAAGGCTGAGTACATCCAACCCCCTTACCCCACCATAGGTGAGAGCCTTTGCGACACTGGGGTAATGTTGTTGTTGTTGCTGTTGCTTCAATTCACATTCCTTTTATGGGAAAACTATCAAATTTGCCCACGTAGTATTTAAAAAAATCAATTAAGCCCACAAACTAAAACAACACCTAATTGAGACCTCAAACTTTGCAAACACATTCAAATTCAAAATCTAACAGATTAATAATCGGTCAACCGGTCACTTGCCTACATGGCTTATTTTACTCCCTCCGTCCCAAAATGATAGTCTTGTATTTCCTTTTTGGGATGTTCCAAAATGATGGTCATGTTTCCTTTTTTGGAAAGAAAGATGTGGTCCGTATCATTTCACTTTATTATACTCAAATCTCAACCACAACTTTTACCTTTTCAACCACTTTATTAAAACTTGTGCCCAAAAGAAATGAGACTATCAAATTGGGACGGGGGGAGTATAATTATTCATTTTCTTTCTTGTCTTTTCTTTTTTTCGTTTTTCTTTTTTTCTCCTTTTTTCCCCTTCTGCCGCCAGGGTCTTTGTCTGGTTCTCCCACTTCTCTCTTTTCTCACCCGTTCTTCTTTCTTCTTCCGTATTTTTCTTCTTCTTTCTCCCTTTTCTTTTTCCACCCCAGACCTACTCTTCCCTTCTTCTTTCTTGCGAGCAGAGCAAACCCCTGAGCTTCGTCGATTGCCGGTGACTTAGGCGGCAGAGATCCCAAGCTTCCTCGTCGGCCACTAGAGGTTGTGGCATTCTCTCGATCACACCAGGTTGAAGAAGTATTGTTGCGGAGACAGCTTTTCCCTAAAATGAGCTCGTCAGATCGCTGGCGACTGAGGCGTCAGAGCTCTTGAGCTTCTTCTTCGGTAAAGACGAATTCGTCTTCAACACAGGTCATTGGCAAGGCTGTACAAAATAGCTTAGGATATCACCGCCGACTTGATCTTGTTGCCTTTGAAATCGACGGCATCATCCTATCTGAAATCCACCCATGGCAGCATACTTTCTTGCCTGGGAGAAGACAGAAGCCGGGGAGGAGGGGGGGGGGGGGTGATCGTAGTTGCTTGTCTGGATGAAGAAAGAAGCAGGGGAGAAAGGATGTCGTATTCTCCTATTTGCTTGTCTGGAAGAAGAAAGAAGTATGTGAGGTAAAAAAGACGGGGGATTGGGGGCGGCAGAAGAAAAAAGGGGAAGGAAAAAATCATTAAAATAACCCATTTGGACTGCCACCTGTTAGGAATAGTATATAGAAGCTACACGTACATTGCTTTGTAATTAGTATTAGTTGGGCTTCTGTTATATTAGCTGCAGTTAGTTACAACCATAGCTTCTATAAATACTCTGTACACTTTCTATTTTTCAATAAGATGATTTCACTCCCTTCTTCTACCTTGCTCCATTTCTAATATGGTATCAGAGCTCTGCTCGATCTACCATGGCGAACTTCGAGTCAAATTCTTCTTCTTCTTCTTCGCAATCATCTTCTCAGATTGCCAATCAAACCTCGCCTATCATCTTTCATCATCCTCTACCTGTTAAACTCGATTCAAACAATTTCCTGTTCTGGCGACACCATGTCGAATCAGTAATTCGAGCTCATAAGCTTCTCAGATTCATAGAAAATCCTCAAATACCAGATCGTTTTGCTGTTGATGAAAATGGAACAAAAACAGTTAACGAAGCATACAACACATGGGAGCAACAAGACCAGATGTTGTTTTCCTGGCTCTTAGCTTCGCTTTCTGAGTCACTTCATGCTCGCGTCATCTGCTGCAAGCACTCGCATGAGTTATGGAGTGAAATTCAGCAATTTTTCCGCTCCAGCATCATCGCGCGAGCTCGTCAGCTGAAATCGGAACTGTATAACACCGGAAAAGGTGATCGTTCTATTTCCGAATATCTGCTTCGTATTCAGACCATTGTGGATAACCTAACATCTGTCGGAGAGCCTATATCCACCAAGGATCACATCAATGTGATCCTTGAAGGTCTTCCTGAGGATTATGAATCACTTATATCTTCTGTCACCTCGCGAAGTATTTTAGATCCAGTTACTTTATCTGAGCTTGAAGGCCTTCTGTTGGCTAAGGAATTACGACTGAGAAAACTACGTGACTCCTCACAGCAAACTATTCTCATCATTTAACTCATATTTACCTACTTCCAATGTCACTTTAGCTGACGGGTCTACCTCACCCGTTCTTGGATCCGGTACTGTTGTACCAACTTCTACATTACCATTATCGTCTGTTTTGAGTCTTCCTAATTTTGCATTTAATCTGCTTTTCATCAGTAAAATCACACGTACTTTTAATTGTTCTGTAACATTTTTTCCAGGATATTGTGTGTTTCATGATCTGTTAACGAAGCAGACTATTGACAAAGGACATGAGTCGGGGGACTGGTCTTTATATTTTGGATACATCAATCACAAAAGGTATCTCTTGTCTTGGAGTTGGAAGTCTGTTAGAAGCTCATTACCTATTAGGACATCCATCTCTCCCACTAATGAAGCAAATATATCCTCAGTTTAATAGTGTCATCTATACCATGTGAGTCGTGTGAGTTTGCAAAACATTATCTTACTAGTTTAAGTCCTCGACTTAATAAACGAGCAAACGCTCCATTTGATCTTGTTCATACTGATGTTTGGGGGGCATGTCCCGTTGAGTGACTTGTGTCCAAATCTGGTTTCAAATATTTTGTTACATTTGTTGACGATTATTCTCGTATGACATGGTTATATTTAATGAAACGTCGATCAGAGTTATTTACTCATTTTTCTGCATTTTGTGCTGAAATTAAAACTCAATTTAATGTTCCTGTTCGTGTGTTGAGGGGAGACAATGCCCAAGAATATCTCTCTAATCCATTTAAATCTTTTATGCTTCAAAATGGCATTATTCATCAAATTTCATGCGTAGACACACCTCCTCAAAATGGAGTCGTTGAAAGAAAGAATCGACATCTGTTAGAAACTGCAAGGGCTCTTCTATTCCAAATGAATGTGCCTAAATAGTTTTGGGCGGATGCCGTGTCTACCGCATGTTTTTTGATAAATCGTATGCCATCTTCTGTTTTAGACGGTAAAGCTCCTTATCACTGCTTATTTCCAAATAAAGAGCTTTTTCTTATCCCATCTAAAACATTTGGTTGCACTTGCTTTGTTAGAGATGTTAATTCTCATCTTACAAAGTTAGACCCCAAATCACTAAAATGTATTTTCTTGGGTTATTTTCGAGTTCAGAAGGGGTATAGATGTTTTTGCCCAAGTACAGGTCAATATCTTCTTTCCATTGATGCATCATTTCATGAAAATAAACCTATTTCATCATCCCTATTTCATCAATTCATGGGGACAATGATGAAATACTCATTTATTATGTCACTATACCAGAATCTACACCTTCTGTAGTTATTCCACATGTTAATGTTCCCGACCCCAGACCTCCAGTACAGTTGATTTACACCCGTCGAAACAGAGCACCAGATCACCCTCCACCTGTGACATCTGTGATTACTTATCTTGATATTGGTCCGACCTCAATCTCATGTCCTGAACCAGTACCTGCTTCTTTAGATCTTGTCTCTACATCAGATCTTGACCTTCCGATAGCACTGCGTAAAGGTACATGATCTTGTAATCATCAAATTTCTTCATTTGTGTCGTATAGTCAGTTATCCACTGCCTCATGTTCTTTTATTGCTTCCATTGATTCTGTTTCTGTACCCAAATCTGTTAAAGAAGCTTTGTCTCATCCTGAATGGCGTCATGCCATAGTAGAGGAAATGAATGCTTTAGATCTTAATGGTACTTGTGATTTGGTTAACTTGCCTAGAGGGAAGAAATCTATAGGATGTAAGTGGGTCTTTGTTGCTAAGGTTAACCCAGACGGATGTATTGCTCGGTTGAAAGCTCGATTAGTTGCGATGGGTTATGCTCAAACCTATGGTGTTGATTATTCTGACACTTTTTCTCCTGTTGCTAAATTAACATCTGTCAAGTTACTTATTTCTCTCGCTGCAACTCATGATTGGCACTTACATCAATTGGACATTAAAATGACATTCTTGCATGGTGACCTTCAGGAAGAAGTTTATATTGAGCAACCTCCAGGATTTGTTGCTCAGGGGGAGTATGGGAAAGTTTGTCGACTTCACAAGTCTCTTTATGGTTTGAAACAAAGTCCCCGTGCATGGTTTGGAAAATTCAGTCAATCAATTGAACGATTTGGCATGATAAAAGGTCAATCAAACCACTCTGTCTTTTACAAACGAACGAAAGCAGGTATCACATTGCTTGTGGTGTATGTCGATGATATTGTGATTATAAGGAGTGATACTGCAGGTATTTTGGCTCTTAAGAATTTTCTTCATAGCCAATTCCAGACGAAAGATCTGGGCTCATTGAAATACTTCTCGGGTATTGTGGTGTATAAGGCATATTTCTATCCCAACACAAAAATGTACTTGACTTGCTAGCTGAAACAGGGAAATTAGGGGCAAAGCCAAGCAATACTCCTATGATTCCTAATGTACAACTCACTCACGAAGGTGTGTCGTTCGAAGATCCAGAGAGATATAGAAGATTGGTTGGAAAACTTAATTATCTCGCAATTACCCATCCAGATATTGCATACTCAGTGAGTGTAGTGAGTCGGTATATGTCATCTCCCACAGTTGATCACTAGAATGTTGTAGAACATATATTATGTTACTTGAAGGGGACACCAGGACGAGGTATTGTTTATCAAAATCATGAACACATGAGAATAGAATGCTTTGAAGATGCTGATTGGGCTGGATCTAAAGATGATAAAAGATCTACATCTGGTTATTGCGTCTTTGTTGGTGGTAATCTTATCTTCTGAAAAAGTAAGAAGCAGAATGTGGTTTCTTGATCTAGTGCCGAATCAGAATATCGTGCTATGGCACAATCGGCATGTGAGATAATCTGGATAAACCATTTGTTGAGTGAAATTGGATTGAAGACACCAATGCCTACTAAATTGTGGTGTGATAACCAAGCTGCCATACACATTGCCAACAACCCAGTGTTTCATGAGAGAACAAAACATATTGAGGTCGATTGTCATTTTATTCGAGAGAAGATACAAAAAGGATTGATCTCTACAGGATATGTGAAGACTAGGGAACAACTTGGAGATTTGTTTACTAAAGCACTAAATGGAATTCGAGTTGGTTATTTATGTAAAAGTTGGGCTTGATAAATATCTATGCTCCAACTTGAGGGGGAGTGTGAAAGTATATTAGAATATACTTTAGAATATGCTTTAGAATATATTAGGAATATACCATAGATATTATTATTGTATAGAATCTTATATAGGAATATTCTACTTGTAATGTATATTTATAGGGACTTCCACAACTAATGAAATACACAGAAAATCTTTCCTCCACTTTTCAATATTATTCTAGTTTATATTTCAACACTATGCTTGATTTTTGAATGCTTCATTTTCCCACAAGGCAATTTTTGGGGGAACAGAGAGGCTCTTGCAATTGTTTTTTTTTTCCAACACATCTCAGGTGATTGTACAGTCAAACCCATGTCAGCAGCAACCAAAACACCCTGCAAAAACTTGCCTCAAATCCCACCGCCACCGGATGCACCATTACACCAGACAATATTCTGCAGTGCACTTCGATTTTTTCGCAGTTTATCATGACACACGACTAATCCCATAACGCCCAGCCTGAGTCTAGCTGCTTTAACTGGTGCTTATAGTTTTCAGAACCTGACTCACTCACTGGGAATGCTTGGATCGAAAGTGCTAGGGAGAGTTTTTTTGCAAAGGAATGTTATTTCTTGTGTGTTCCTAGCTCAGAAACTACAAAGGAAAATGACATTTGATTAGTTCTTTTATTAGTTTTGAATGTTTAGATCTTTTATGCTTTTAGAATAGAAATATTTAAATAAAATGTGTGGTTCAAACTCAATAAATCTTATTTTAAAAATTTGACCAATGTGGCAACTTTTTAATTCCCTTCACATTCTCTGAAAATTCCAGCTACATTTGCCTCTTTATTTTCTTACTATAACACTTCCCGAGTTCCAAATTGACCCTTAATGTTGACAAGTCTGTTTTAGACAGCAAATATTCCTGATACCTCGTTTTCATCAACATGGCATCATCCAATAATGTAATGAACCCTCCTATATCTTCACACCAAATTAATTGACCACAAATGAATTTTCTTCCACGCAAGCAGCGTATATTAAACATTGGTTCAAAGGTCAAGGTGCTTCTGATTCCCTCACAAAGAAATGACATGGAATCACCATAAAGAAGGAAAAATGGGAAAAGAAAGATGTTCATGAATTTGTATCTTGCGTCTAGCATTATTAGTTTTTTGATTTTATGCTTTTGGATGCTCAAAAACTGAGGCCATTTACCTGCTTAGACAAGTTGAGGAGAAGTATAGAGACAATAAAAAAGATCTGCATTTGGTGTCCATTGACTTAGAAAAGGCATATGATAGGGTCCTCGAGACGTCCTTTGGCGGGCCTTGACTAGAAAAGGCATATCACGTATATATATCAGTATCATCATGATATGTATGAGCTTGTACTACAAGTGTCCGTACTATTGCAAGGAGGACCGCGAAGTTCCCTATTACTACCGGAGTGCACCAAGGATCCTTACGAGTGAAAATCTTTTGGGATTAAGGCTTGAATGTTGTTGTTGTTGTTGTCGTCTAGCATTATTAGTTTCCAGCAACTAGTTTACAATGAAAGAGTGTTAACCATCAAATGTTAAGGAGTGTTGGCTTTAACATTGTTTGGGAGAGTGAAAAAAAAACAGATGTGATAGCAAGTGTTTAAGGGTGTTTTGAGGTGTTGACCAACCTTTTCCCTTCTTTATTTAAGAAGCATAAAACTCTCACTCCTTCATGTCTCCCCTGCTACTGCTGCAATGATATCCCTCCTCCGTCACAGACTATTGTGATGTCATTCCCTGCTACACTTCTGTAACTAACACCTAATTTTTTAACTCTCCCAAACAAGATAAGCTTATATCTTACACTTACACTTACTTTCCCTTCATTACCCGTACGTATAGTTCCTGAATCTTGACACCTTCATTACTAACACCCTTAAACACCCCATCCAATGATAGGTACACAGAAATCTGGCGCTGAATTGTTTGATATTAAAACTGAAATTGTAGAAACTGAAAGGAAACGATACAGATGAGGCAAGTTCGAGAGTGCCTCATCTCTCCCAAGTCCCAGTCCTATTCCAAGTTCTGCCTACCCCTTCTTTCTCCCTCCCCCCTTCTATTTATACCCTTACTTATGGGCCAGCCCACAGTTAACTAGTACCTGGCCCAGGACCTCTAATATACTATCACAATTATTTAATATTATTATAATATTCTTATTATTATTTTCTTCAGCCTAGAATCCTATCATCCAACCACAATGTAGGTTTGTATGCTCTCATGCCTCCCTTGGTAGGATGGGAGCCCTCATGAGCTTTACTACAACACCATTTATACATGGAAAAAATAACCCACAAGAAACCCGTCCACCATGAAGTTTATTGCGCTCTGATTTGAATTGCAAATAACAGGCTGGAATAGAAACTACTGCTGGTTCTAAAAAATGATTTTTTAATGTCATGTGTTCATCACTTACTTCCTTTGGTCAAACGGCTCATGTCTGTGATAAGATTTTATGATATTATCCAGTGCAATTTTCGACGCGATTTTCACCGTGGGTCATCCGGAAACACTCTCTTTGTGCTTTAGTACAGGGGTAAGGCTGCGTACATCCGACCCTCCTTACCCCACTGTAGGTGGGAGTCTTTTGGCACTAGGGTAATGATGATGATGATCATCTAGTGCTACTGTTCCTACCATGGTAGGTGCTTACACCTAAATCTACATATTACTCCTAATATTAGTATTGAACAAAATGGTAGTTCATTTGGCTTGGACAGATGGACTATATCATAACAACCAAGGAAACCAAATGTGTCCACACTCATAGACATCTCCAGAATGGCAACAGGACCAATAATAGATGTCAATGTGACCACGGAAGAATGTAGGGAAACACCAAAGATCAGTGTTGATAGATGCATGGCAAACCCCTACACTCTGCTCACCTAATTCATACCTGTACATCTGACTCCAGAAACCCTCATCTCACCCATGACTATATCTGCTGAGTACAAGGAATATTTTCATTTCAGGTCCCTAAACCATCTACTCCTTTGGTTTCTAGTATTGCCTCCTTTACCACATGTATCTCTCCAACACCAATTCCACCAGTGGTTGTTACCCTACAGCCCTTCAAGTGATTCTAGAAGGCTACTCTATATTATGCACCAGCCTAACCACTGCTTTTACATAACGCAGAGCTTAATTTTGCGTTTTAGCACCGCAGAAGTATGTAATAGAGAAGAAAACGGCAATAAATAGCACATGTTAAGATATGATGCAGTGTCAAACCTGTGCCTCATGGCCCTTCAATTCTTCAAGTAGCTGAGTTGTCCGCTTATCCCAGACAAGAACAGTCTGGTCATCAGATCCTGATACAACTTTCCCTCTATCAGAGCTAATTGCCCTCACAGTCCTGCAAAGAAAAATATAAAGCAAATATCTTTATAACCTTTCCAGATTGGTTAGACTTTTATAAGGAGGATAACCTTTATAAACTTGTGCAAATAGGTAACATGTCAAATCAGAAAAGGGTAGAATGGAAAAGTAAAAATTTAGTATTATTCAAGAAAGGAAAATAGACATAATTCTGGACAAAAATAAATGGAAGTGGGACAAGAAAATGGGGGAGAGGAGTATTAACAAACTTCATCCATTAGCTTAACTAGTAAGTTACTGAAGCATGGAACTTTTATCATAGCATATAAAAAAGAAGAAGAAAGAGCTTAGCACCTAGAATGCCCTTTGAGTGTTGCTCTAAGTTCAGAACCACGGAGGCTGGGGTCCCATATCCTAACCTGGAAAGATAAGATATATCAATCAAATCCAGATTGAAACTCGTGTCGCCAAAACAAGGACACCAAACACGGGAGTGAATGACTATAAACTTGTGCAATTCAACACAAGTATTGGTGAGCTACCAAATTTAAGGTTCAAGAACTTCAACGGACAAGAAGAATGTTAAATTTCACTACCTGAATAATCATGTGAAGTAAAAAGTAACATATTACATTCGATGCATATCAAACATGCCTAGCAGCTAGCAGTACTTAGGAGTGCCACTTCAAACAAAACATTTTATAGTACTATGGTACATTGGTATCTCACCGTGCAGTCGGTGCTTCCACTGATAAAGAAACCTGCATCCTCACGATCCCCAACTAGATCCCAAACCTCTCTTTTTGTCACACAATGTATGGTAGTAACTGCTCCGGTGTGGCCTCTAAGCATACGAATGCTAGTATGAAGTTTCTTTTGTCCAGCTGCAGGCAACTCTTGTTTTCGAGGATCACCATTCTCATCAGAGGCTAAATGCAGAAGACAACGACACCTCAAATGGTTTATCTTATGCAGGAACTTTTGCATTAGACTTAAAAAAAGTACCTGTAGAACCACTATCAGAAGCCCACTTGCGAACCCGACTAAATGAGTTGGCTCTCAGCGATGACTCCCTGCTAAACATGCTCTGCACCCAGCTGCGCCCAACGCCTGATACCTCAGCTGGTTGTTGAGCATCATCTGTGGTATCTTTGCGTGGGGAGGGTAGACCAATGGCTGATGCAGCTTGCGACTTGACTGAGTATATTCCCCAGTAACCAATGAACATTTGTCGGATATGTGATAGATATCCCCTAAGTTTTATCTGATCCAATATGCCAAATAATATATTTGTTAGAAAACGCACAAATAGTAAATATTACTATTTTCCTTTTCCCATAAAAGATGATCAAATCCAAGGTTTGAAAAGATAGTTTTAAGCCTCAAGGTGTTTTGAGTATATGAGGCGAGGTGCAAGCCTTAAGGCTATACGAGGTGTAAGCCTCAAAGTATACAGCACATAAAAATTTAAAGCCACAACTTTGTGACACATAAATTTAAGGAAACTAAAAACTCAAAAGCTAAAAATATAACAAACCACTTAGCCACAAAACTAAGTTTAGACCTGTGGTAACCAAATAGACCACTTAGTCACATAACTAAGTTTATACCTAGGGAAGCCAAATAGCCAGCCAACATTCACAACACTTCAGCTTCAAAACATTAAGCACAACTTACATTTAAACATTGAATAGAGGTATAGACCATAGTTCAATGTCATACAACGCAGGAGGCATATACCCAATGCAAGAGGCATAGATTAAAAAGAACACTTAAATGTCAACTTCCATCTCATCTTCACTCAAAGTTCATTAGCAAAATCAGCACATTTGAAATTTCCATTATATTCATTGGATATGCTTCTATCTAAGAGGAAAATCATAACAAATAACAATAAAATTGCGTGAAGAAATTTGTGTGTGTCAAATATCTTAGGTTTTTAATGGGGTTAAGACATGTTGACTAATAATTAAAAAAGTTCCAATATGAATTTCATTTATATCTAATAACCCAGGATCAGATCAGAAGTTTTATAAGTACACTGAGGTTTAAGCCTCACAGGACACCTTGAGGCGTATATGAGGCCTGCTTCATTCCATATCTAACTACCCAAGGGTGAAGCCTCAAATCTCAATGCACCTTTTTACCGCCTCACACTGAGGCCAGCCTTCACACGCGCCTCAAAATTGCCTTTTAAGCAATGGTCAAATCTGAGCTTAAGGGAAAATAGAGATGTAACTCTAAACCATCTTATCATTCAATGATTCTCTGAAACTAAAGAGTTAACTTACAATATGCTTATAACTGATGTTATTTTTCCCAGCTATTGTTTCAATCATGTACCACGCATCATTGTCATGAAGTCCAAGGCCAGCCTTACAAGAGGATTAGCAACCGAGTAAGAAGAAAAATAAGTTGAAAAAAGTTGCTAGATAGACCATTTTTTCTCTAGGGGGAGGTGGGGTCATAGAGGTGTTACCATGTGAGTCGCAACAACAATAAGCTGGGTTGTTACTAACATCGCGTAATTTGTTGACCTGTCACAAAAACATGGGTTTAAATGAACACCATATAAGAATTCATATTAGTTTTTTTGTCAAGAACTTCATTCAAGTGTTGGGGAAGATTGATGTTTATAAGTTATGCATGCACAAGCATCTTAGTATGTACATCCTATACACACACAAATTTTACAAAACTGTGCAAGCTAATCCACACCTAATATTAGCCAACAAAAGGCAGACATGTTAGGAACATTAATAGCTAAATGTGTTATTAATGTGTTTGGCTTGCTCTAGGTGTCACTGATGTATGTCCTTGATCCGGTGCAACTGTTTGAACTTGAATGGATTTGTCATCACAAAGTTGTCGGAATAACGTAAATAACTTGTTGTCTAATGGTCTAAAGAAGCTAAGAAGGTAGTTGCTGTATGCATCTTAAGATTTCCATCATCACCTCTATTCCTCCTTCACAGTCACTCTCTTCTCATAATATCTGGCGCATTGCCTTAAATAGAACTTGGATAAATCTCTTGTGACATCCTTAAGAAAATTCCTTAGAAAAGCAACATAAGTAATGTGTTACTGTTACATCCTCTTGTATATCTAATACCTTTATATCAAGTTCCTCATTTGTCCTGAAAGAAGGCAATATAAAGCTAACAAGAAAGTTATTTCTACGCACCTAAAGTCTGCTATTGATCTCAATTTCTATCTGTGTTTGCATAATCTTTTTCTACCAATTTGTATATGACATCACATCACATAATCCCCATTTCGATATCAGAGAAACTGTGCAATTAAAGTACAAAAGATGAAAGCTTCTAGATGAGCTTAGGCCTAGGAGGATATAAATCAATTCCAAAATCATGTACTGACAGGGGAAAAAGGATAAAGGTGAAACTGATGCAGTAAAGATCCACCTATGGTGATGATCAGTCTTTCACCCAAACAAACAAAGTTGGAAACGAAAAGTTGCATCTCTTACTTGCTAGAATATCTATCGAGTAGAAAGTCAAAGTACCCTTCCCAAAAGCTGCAAAGAATGAAAGAGATAATAGTTATAATGAATCCAATATACTTTTTGAGAAGCATCTCACTTTTAAACAAGGGCTAGTGTTGTTACTAAATGACTAAAAACTGAACCCAGAACACAGTTGGTGTAACATTGAGCATAAGTTGATGTAATTAGTGAAAAGGGGTTATATTAATTACTAGCTAATTCTGAACACTGAAAGTAAGTTTTTCTAGTAAAAAATACAATTATATACCTTGTGCATGCATAACAGAGTTTATATAATAACACACTAATATTACTATATTCACCATTAACATCATGAATATTTAGGTACAAGCATGGATACTACTCCAATCCCAATAAATGAGTCCTATTTCAACGAAATCATTGAGTTTAATGTAACTTAAAAAAGGTTCCAAACAAGTTAAAACGACAATTGAAATGACCTTCATGTCTCAATATCAGATGGAATCGATACTACTCGACAAGAATAAGATCATCACATCCTTACATAGAACTACAGATATACTTCATGGGCTATGCTAAATTAGAGTTTAGGACTTTAGGATCCAGGGCTCACAAAGAAATACACAGTTTTGGGAAATCAGGTACAACCCAACTACACAAGTCATAGCCCAAACCAAGTTGAAGTCAATCAAGCATTCTAAATTCTAGTGCCTCTCCTACAAATATGCAAGAGGACTTGTAAGGATATTATTTCTCAGCCACCCTCTCATCACTCTCTCTTCTCTTTGTCTTTTCCAGAAAACTATGAAAACTCCATCAATAAATTCCACTACTTGTATGGAACTATCTAAAAGGGCTAGTGGTTTTCTTAGGAGATGAGTTGGGCTCCTTTGCTCAATAGCACAAACACAAAAATATAGCTAGTTTTCAGGTTTTACAGTGAGCTTAATGTCAGTACATGTGAGTAACAGGCAACAAACACAGTCGTATGTCTGAATATAAAATGGCACAATTTTCTTATTAAGAAACAACACAACAACTTAACAGATATTGAGCAAAAGGGAAAAAATTGCACATTTTTAGTGGACAGTACACAAGTTGAATTATGACAGAAGAGACCATCATCTGATTAATGTCGAAGACATACCGCAATTCCTCCCAGATAGAAAGTGATCGAAGATGTCTTTGAACAAAGTCAGAGACATTGCTCACATCTTTTTTGTACATTTCAGCAGAGACTTCAAGGGCATCTCTGGCTGTTGCCATATCATTACGGGAAGTAGCACGGCTAATAGCTGTTTTTAGCTGCAGTTTGCAAGAGAGAGAAAATCAAGTCATAGAAAGCTTGTCAATAATTGGTTTTGTAAACCTCCTTCCCGGCTGGTTAAGGAAGTGTCATCCATTTTGTACACTCTTAATATTCTCTTAGTGCAGATTTAAAGTGGAGGATCTTATACTTCAGAGATGTAATCTATGCTCATATACTGATCACAAGATAAGACAAATTTGGTCAATTTCCACAGGATGAAGTTTGTATTATCTTCTCCTGTAATATTATCCTAAATAATGAAATGAACCATTCTTTAAATTATGTATGACTAAAGAAACTATATACTTGCACTAATTTCATAAAACTGAAAAGCTAATAGTATTTTCAGAAGTTTGCAATTTCCCTTCATCTTTTCTTTGCATCTCGTTTGGTTGATGGAACTCATTAAAGTAATTATTCCATTCCTGGTTCCCAAGAAAAGTTAGTATGGTACGGTGGACATCACTTTCCTAAGAAAAATACTTTCATTGAACTCCCAGATAAAGTATCCCACCCAAATCTCTCCTATCGTTTATTCCAGATGAATGTGCAACAAAAAAGCATGTGCTTGAACCAATAAAATACTCCACAATTTACTATAGGCCTTTATTAATTTTCTGGTCTACAATGGAAGTTCAATATTAAACCTCATTATTGCCAATCATTCCCTCCTTATTGTAAACCTTTTCGACCAGAAAAATAAAAAAATTTAGTCATTTCACTCCTGCTAGCAAACCTTATTATTCCTGGCCTGTAACATTCCCCTCTCAGTCTTTTCCCATGGAATTCATGACCAATTCCTACTATATTCCTCCTCGGGTACCAAACAAACCATCATGTTTCTTAAAACATGAGCTCAATTATAAATGAGACGGTATTTGTTTAGATATACCAGTTCCTTCACTGCGATAAACTGCTCCTCAGTCAATTCACAGCTCCATCCCTATGCAACAAAAAAGTGGTCATGAACTAGTAGAATTAATGTAACCATGCACAGCAAATTTTGGAAGTTGAAGCTACATACCGAATATATATGCTCTCTTATACATTCAACAAAGCCACTACCACCAATCCCCTCTGCATCAGACTCGATTAAAGCTGTTGTAGAAATTGAACATAGGCTGTCAATTGTGACTTCAGTTGTTGAACAAAAATGGCATTTAGCGTGAATGAGAATGAAACAGATGGGCAATTGGGAAGAAGTGAAAAATATATTATACTATCTGGAAAAGTATACCAAGGATAGTTCCATATTCAAATGACGATAGAGGATCATCAGTAGCACCCAACTTCAAGAGGCGTAGCCATAGTCCCTGCCATAAAGCAAATATAAAATATTTTAAATCCTGTCCCCAATTGCATCAGTAGATATATACCCATCAGATAGAAAAGCAAATATAAAATATTTTAAATTCTCTTTGTATACATATACCCATCATAATTCCAGTAGTAAAGAAACATGAGTTTGCGAATGAAATGCTAGCTTTTTCAACACTTTCCCGTGATATATAAAGGAAAGCAGCACAGAAGTTACACTCCTAACTAAATGAAAATCCCTTTAAAGGTAAAGAATATTTCACCTGTAGCTTTACTTTTATATCCAAAACCATGCGCTCTCTCTCTGCCTGCAAGTTAAAAACCAATTCGTGCTTAGTGCTTACTATAACTCAGAGATCTAATCTTACAAATCTTAGTCAAGATTAAGAAACTTACTGCTCTCTCCCTTGGACTTAGACTCTCAGATCTTGAATCTTTACCCGCACGTTCCGTTGGTGAACTATTAGATTGTGAAAATGTTAGTGACAAACTGACAATAGATCTTAATCATATGATCTTGTGCTCTACAACACTACAACAACAACAACAACATCCAAGCCTTAATCCAAACAGTGCTCTACAACACAACAACATTAACAACAACAACAACAACAACATCCAAGCCTTAATCCAAACAGTGCTCTACAACACTGTTGAAGCATATTTAGATCTAGTCATAAATTCATAATAGTCGAGGCACACAGTGTTATGTTACATGGTTTTGTAGAATAAGGTCTTGTGTCACACAATATTGTGACAATCAAGCAACACAACACGTCACTCAGAACTCATTTTCACAAAATAACAAAACAACTTGAAGTTGCCCCTTTATTCATTAAAACTTATTACTGGTGTATATTCACAACATTTATTAGATGAATGGACATGCTGACTGTTTTTCTCACAATGGCCATCAGAAACCCCATGGGTTGAATGAATACATATATAACAAGCATGGAACATTTTAACCACATGCTCCATATAACATGCATGAAACACTTGATCTAGATGCTCCAGCAGGGGGGTGGTGTTAAATTACATTTACAAATAGTGTCACAGCACATAAATTTGTAGTACATGGTCATTAAATGCAGTTTTGTACCTGTATAATCAGGGATTTAACAAACAACACACAGGAATTAGAATAACTTCACGTGATCAGAATATCAGACATACCTAGGAGTATGCCTTCCTGAATATTCAAGTGCTCCACTTGCTGTGGCTAGAGCTTGCTTCCTTTTCTCATCCTGCTCTTCTGTTCTTACGCCTGGAGGAAACCTGTCGTAACAATGTTTGGCACCTGATCCTGCTGAACCAAAAAGTTCAGTATGATATGTCCATATGGGATATTGAACATTTCCCACTGGACCACAGGCTTAACTGACACTTTGCAGATGGTAGATAAGTTTCTTACCTGCTGCAACACCCAGGTCAGATATAGTTAAAATCTCTGGCTCTGACTGCAGTGCTGGAAGAACGGATAAGGGTTTCTGATCCCTGCCGATGGCATCTTGCAACTTATCTAGGAGATTGTTACTACTTTCTTCTGAACCAAGACCTCTCTCCAAGTAATCCATGAAACCTTGAGACTCTAAAAACTGACTTATCTGTTGATCAGGCAAATACAATTAGTTGATTAAGGAAACAAAAAGATTTTAAAAGAGCAATTTGAAGAGCAATAGAAGAAGTGAAGACTAAAACGCATCATATTGTCATCACTCATCATCCCATTAAATGTCCAGAAGTGATACGTAATAGATTACTGCTAAATTGCTAATATACTCTACACATCAGAAACATGAGCGCGTCAAGTGTATTGAAGTTGACAAGAAATGATCACCATTGGGTCTGGCGGTTGATTGGTTGACCGAGAGCGTTTCTTTAAGAAAGCTTGAGTGTTGAAGATCTGAGTTGCATTATTTTCCTAACAATCATTGATAATAGTAATATTCACTTCAATGCCACACAATTAATCATTTAGTAGAGAATAAAGTAAAAGGAGTCATACTATAAAATTGCGGTAGCCACCTAATATTGAAGCCAGGAATTTTAAAAATATGAACCTGCATATTCAAAAACAAAAAAAAAAACTGAAAATTTCAAACATACATTGTATTGTTATGTGTGTAACACTAATTAGATGAAGTCGTTACCAGAGTTTAAGTTTAAAGAAAAAGACAAGAACTGAGCCACTAACCACATTAGCAAGAGCTAAATACATGCAAATGGAACAACAAAGCATACATTGGGCACTTTGCATCAGTACACAAAAATGTTAGTGATTGCTGATCACACTACATGGAACTAATTTTCACACTGAACAAAATACACTATCCAAAATATACTAAAAATTGACATCAAGGTGAGAAAACTATGTGGACTTCAGGAAATTAAATTGATAGTTAATCAAACTATCCACTATTTTTGGCTTAGGAATATGATGGAATAAAGCAAAATGGCTCATTAAACTGTCTGTGCGTCTTTGTTATGAAGCAGCAGTTAGTCCATGCAATTTTCTACGCGATTTGCATCATGGGTCATTCGGAAACAGTGCTTCTATGCTTTAGTACAGGGCTAAGGCTGCGTACATCCGACCCCCCATACCCCACCGTAGGTGGGAGCCTTTGTGGCACTGGGATAATGCTGTTGTTGTTGTTTTAGTTAATCAAACTATCCTGGTCTCCCCCCCCCCCCCCCAGGATACTAGTTTTCCTTAATTATCACCTCAGCAGAAGATCATGGTCTCCCCCCCATAGCCTGTTGCCACCTCTTAGATTCTGTTCAATTGCAGTACCCATCCTGGACTTCAGCTGGTCTATTTCTACAACATTTTGACACAACAGCTTCATAATCTCACGCCGCAAAGTGCTGTACTCAGGCTCTGGTGCAGGGGGGATTTCCTCAGATGTTATGATGCGATTATGTTCAAGGTCTACAATCACTACCTACACCATCAGAAATTGAAAAATATCAAGTTGCTATTATTACGAGTGAGTGAAAGAACGGAGGTGAAGAAGACAACAGATGAGCAAGCAATGTAGTAGTAAGAAAATCATTAATTAATTCTGGCCACAATGCAGGAGGGTCCAATGCAAACTATGGTGGTGTCTCTATGTAAGAACACACATTCAGTCATCGAACAATGTTAATATATTGTGCAGAATTACGTTAATGATTAATAATAATGTGGTAGCAACAACATCATCTTCAGGATTCATTACATACAGAAACATGTATGCATGATCTGTTTCATCATAGATTTATAGGTCTGCGGCATCATTAACATATTTTGCTTCATCCATCACAACCAAACATGTTGGGCTGTAGGCTTTGGCCCATTCAGATCTGGAAGTCAAATAAACAAAGAGCAGCAGCCTGCTCTAGTTAAATGTGCAGGCAGCCCTAGTTGGGCCTGTTTCTTTGGTGGCAGTCAGGCCCAGAACCTTATCAAGTGTTTTACCCTAATTGTTTGCCTATATATATTGACTCCTGTACTTGTAAACTATGACTTGTATCATCCATCATCTCAATAAGAAAGAAAACCCTAGTTGCCCCCGTGGATTAGGTCAGTAACACTTACTGGCTGAACCACGCTATATTCGTGTGCCGTTCTTCTCGTTCTTTTCTAGTTTTTCAGATTCGTGCGTGTGTGAGATCTAACCCTAACAACTTGTATCAGAGCAAGGTTAGCCACCACCATATATTCGACCACCACCACTGCTGCCGCCTTGCGTCTTCAGCCTCCTTGTGCCGCCAACAGTGCGCTGCCGCAGAAGAATATAGCCGGCAGATTGTGAAGGACTGGGACAATGGCAGATGATTGAAAAACCAAAGTCGAGAAGTTTGATGGACAAGATTTTGGATGGTGGAAGATGCAAATTGAGGATTTGCTGTGTCAGAAGGATTTGGATCAAGCCTTGACAGGGAAAAGACCAGAAAAGATGAGTGATGATGAATGGGCTGCTCTAGACAGGAAAGCTTTGGCTGTTATCAGATTTACCCTAGGTTTGATGAAGACTTTGTCAAACATGTATGAGAAACCATCGGCATCAAACAAGGTATTTCTGATAAGACAGCTAGTAAACACCAGAATGAAAGAAGGTGCATCTGTTACCTCACACGTTAATGAGTTTAATAATATCATATCATGTTTACTATCTGTTGATATTAAGTTTGAAGATGAAGTCCAAGCTTTATTCTTGTTATCCTCGTTACCAGAAAGTTGGTCAGGAACAGTCACTGCGATTAGCGGTTCAACTGGAACCTCTAAACTCACATTTGAAGGCATTCGTGACATTATCCTAGGAGAGGATATAAGAAGGAGGAGTTCTGGAGAATCTTCTAGTGCTTTGTTAAGTACTGAAGGGAGAATCTTCTAGTGCTTTGTTAAGTACAGAAAGAAAGAGAAGGGAAATGGCAGAGTCAGATCAAAGTCTAGAAAGAGGAGCCAGTTAAAACCGAGAAAAGATATTCAATGCTGGAACTGCAAAGAAACTGGGCATTTCAGAAATCAATGCCCTAAATCTTCAGAAAGGAAGGAAGTAAATGCAGCCACTGACGATTCAGATGATGCCCTTATCTGTTGTGTTGAAAACTCAACAGAAACGTAGATTATGGATTCTGGTGAATCATTTCATGCTACTTTCAGCACGAAGGCGATGAAGAATCCACGGAGATTGGTAAAATTCGTTTGGCTAATAACGACTCTCTTGACATCACAGGGATGGGTGACATAGACTTAAAGACTTCATTGGGCACCACTTGGGCATTGAAAGACGTCCGGGTCATTCCAAGCCTTAAGAAGATGCTGATTTCTATTGGGCAGTTGGATGATCAGGGATTTGATGTTACTTTTGGTGAAGGACAATGGAAAGTTGTCAAGGGGAATCTTGTAATCGCCAGAGGCAAAAAGAGGGGTACTTTATATATGGTTGAAGCTCCTGATGATGAGATGAATGCAGTGACCAGCGGGCTGAATCCATCCAGTTTGTGGCATCAACGGCTAGGCCACATGAGTGAAAAGGGAATGAAGATGCTCGTTGCAAGGGGGAAACTTCCAGATTTGAAAAGGGTGGATTATGAGTTCTGTGAGCCTTATGTACTTAGCAAGAAAAAGAAGGTTTCTTTTGTGAAGACAGGTCAAACACCGAAAACTCATAAGCTGGAGCTAGTTCACACGGATGTGTTTGGGCCAACGCCAGTCTCTTCCCTGGGAGGATCAAGCAACTATGTGACCTTCATTGATGACTCAACATGTAAGGTATGGGTCTACTTTCTTAAAAATAAGTTTGAAGTTTTCAATATTTTTAAGATGTGGAAAACTGTTGTTGAATTGGAAACTAATATGAAGGTAAAGTGCTTGAAATCGGACAATGGTGGTGAATACATTAGCACGGAGTTTATTGATTACTATGCTGAACATGGCATTCGGATGATAAAGACGGTTCCAGGCACTCCTCAACAGAATGGAGTGGCAGAAAGATTGAACAAAACTTTGAATGAGAGGGCCAGAAGTATGAGACTTAATGATGGGCTTCCAAAGACGTTCTGGGCTGATGCAGTGAACACTGCCGCTTATCTTATCAACCGGGGGCCATCAGTACCATTGGGTTTCAAGATACCAGAGGAAAAGTAGAAAGGAGAAGCCGTAAAGTATGGGAATTTAAAGGTATTTGGATGCAGCGCTTATGATCTTATCAAAGATGGTGACAAGTTAGATGTTAAAGCCACGAAATACACTTTCATTGGATACGATGGAGACAACATGGGTTATCGACTTTGGGACTTTGAAAGTAGAAAGATAGTCAGAAGTAAACATGCTACATTCAACGAGGCTGAACTTTATAAAGACAGAAGCACAGAAAACTCAAAGACACAGAAAGAGCAGGTTGAGTTTGAAAATGATGTCATCAGAAACAGAGAGTCTGAAGATACTCAAGGCCGTGGGAGCATGGAGAATGATTCCGGTACTGACGAGCCTGAGGATGATCACGAAGACTCTGTTGATAGTGAAAATTCAGAGAATGAAGGAGCACCTTCACCTGTGCAGCCGCAGCCAGTTGAAACACAGTGGGTCAGAAGATCCACTAGAGTCACTAAACCTCCAGAAAGATTCAGTCCTTCAGTCAATTATCTCCTTTTGACTGAAAATGGAGAACCAGAAAGATACTTCGAAGCAGTAAAGCAGAATGATTCGTTTCCGTGGGAGCAGGCTATGAAAGAAGAAATGGATGCCTTACTGAACAAGACATGGGTTCTCTTACTAAGCTTCCGCCAGGTAAGAAGGCACTTCAAAATAAATGGGTATTCAAAATCAAGGATGAACCTGATGGGTCAAAACGGTACAAAGCCTGTTTAGTGGTCAAAGGTTTTCAGCAGAAAAAAGGAGTGGATTATAATGAGATTTTTTTCTCCAGTGGTTAGAATGACCACCATCAGATTGGTTCCAAGTATTGTAGCTGCAGAGGGCTTACATCTAGAGCAGCTAGATGTTAAAACAGTATTTCTACATGGCGATCTTGATAAAAATATCTACATGGCACAACCTGAAGGATTTCAGGTTGTTGGTAAAGAAAATATGGTCTGCAAACTAAAACGGAGCTTATATGGTCTAAAACAAGCACCGAAGCAGTGGTATCTGAAGTTTGATAACTTCATGATAAGGACAGGTTAAGAAGATGTGAGATGGACCATTGCTTTTACGTGAAGAGGTTCAAGAGTTCATATATCATTCTACTTCTCTATGTAGATGATATGTTGACAGCTGGTGCAGATATGAAAGAGATCAGCAGGTTAAGGAAACAAATGTCTCAAGAATTTGAAATGAAAGATTTGGGTCCAGCCAAACAAATTCTAGGGATGAGCATAGTCAAAAACAAGGAGAATGCTTCTTTAACACTATCCCAGGAGAAGTACTTTGGGAAAGTGTTGGAGAAATTCAAAATGAATGGTGAGAAGACTAAACCAAGAAACACGCCTTTGGGAAGTCACTTCGAGCTTACCAAAGACCAGTCTCCAAGAACAGACGAAGAGAAAGCAAAAATGGCTAAAGTTCCTTTTCAATCTGCAGTTGGTAGCCTCATGTATGTTATGGTGTGCACGAGACCAGATATTGCTCATGCAATCGGGGTTGTTAGTCCCTTCATGTCAAAACCGGGGAGGGAACATTGAGAAGAAGTTAAATGGATACTTAGGTATTTGAAGGGTACTACAAAGATGGGGTTATGTTTCAGAGGTAAAGACATGATTTTGAGAGGGTATTTTGATGCTGATTTGGGTGGATGCAAAGAGACATTTAAAAGCATTACGGGGTACATTTTCACAGTGGGAGGAATTGCAGTTAGTTGGATGTCCAAACTTCAGAAAAATGTAGCTCTTTCAACAACCAAAGCAGAGTACATGGCAGTTGCTGAAGCCAGTAAAGAGCTGGTTTGGTTGAGGAACTTCCTTGACGAGTTAGACAAAAAGCAAGCAGATTACTCTATCATGGGAAAACAAAGCACATTGGGATGAGATATCACTTTGTCAAAGGGTTGATCAGTGGAGGAACGATGAACTTGAAGAACATCTCAGGTCCAAAGAATCCAACAGATATGTTCACTAAATCTGTGATGCTGGACAAGCTGAAGTTCTGTGTAACTTCAGCTGGCCTTCAAGAATAATGTTGAGAAGGCAGGTGGCAACTAGGAGGAGCTAAACACGGATGAAGTTTACAGAAGTACAGAGGAGTGGAGTGCAGTTGATCGTGTTTCGAAGCCTCCAAGTGGGAGATTGTTGGGCTGTAGGCTTCGGCCCATTCAGATCTGGAAGCCAAATAAACAAAGAGCAGCAGCCTGCTCTAGTTAAATGTGCAGGCAACCCTAGTTGGGCCTGTTTCTTTGGTGGCAGTCAGGCCCAGAACCTTATTAAGTGTTTACCCTAATTGTTTGCCTATATATATTGACTCCTGTACTTGTAAACTATGACTTGTATCATTCATCATCTCAATAAGAAAGAAAACCCTAGTTGCCCCACATGGATTAGGTCAGTAACACTTACTAGCTGAACCACGTTATATTCGTGTGCCGTTCTTCTCGTTCTTTCTAGTTTTTCAGATTCGTGCGTGTGTAAGATCTAACCCTAACAAAACAGACATAAATAAATATGGAAAAAGAGAAAAGGAAATGCCATAGTGAACAAATTCAAGCAATCAACCAACTATAAGAACCATAACAAAGATGGCAAGCGGAACAAACAAATGGGCACAAAAAATGAGTATCGGGCTGTTGGTTGCTTTTCATAGAATTATAGAACTTACACCATCCAACATAAGGCCAGATGTATCCACACCAGAATGAAGTCCCATCATATATGGTGTAGGTGCATCAATATAGTCTACTCCACTGAAAAAGAGTAATGGAATGTAGACATGCTTCAGCACAAGAAGATAAAAATATCAGAAGGCAGTCACTGGAAACATCAGAATCTGATAAATTCGATATAGCCTGCTGCAACATTTAATTGTGCTAACAGGCCATCTAAAAAAAGAAATCGATAAAGAGTATATTATGATTCCAACAAACATACCTGCCATCGAAATGGATAAATCAAATGGCAGATTGCCTCTGATACAAGAGTTAAAAGAGAATACCTGATAACAATAGCATATATTACTGTATGGACAAGATATGGTGATATGTTTTCTTCCTAGACAACAAAAATGAACGGCTGAATACCCTATAGTGATTCTGAACTATAAAAATACTGATTCTTCCCGGACTCCTCGAAATTCATATTTAGCCCATAATCTAACAAAAATAACTCGACAATGACCTAGAAGTCTAGAACTATAAAAAACCACCCAGGATACTGGATATATGATGCATGTGTGCACCTCAAACACACATGTGGTTAGGTACAAGAACATAGTTATAAATAATGATATGACAAGTTGCAACTTGCAAAAAGTAAAACAAAACATAGTTGTTAACAAATTTCCTCCCACACCTAAGTGGATCTTAAGTTGATCATTTTATATCACATTTGTGCTTGATCCACAACCATACAGCGAAAGCCCAGGGTGTATCACAACTCTTTTGAAAGATCACCATCATAGTACATTCAAAGAATTCAGGGTTAGTCAGGCTATTTCACTCTAAGGTATTCAGCCAAAAATGAACCTACATAATAATAGCGCATTGCATAAAACTAAAACTGGATTTTATATCTGCACAATATTACAGTTTACTAAACAAATAGAACTCTCCCTATTTTTGGGGTAGAACCATTTAACACAGTGCATAAGCTAATGTCAAAATCCATATTAATCTGTTCTTTTACCAGCACAACATCAACAAGAAAAACTGAGATCTCAATAGAGAAGATATTTCTTTTAAATTATAAATAAATAATTACTCCCTCTGTCCCGAAATAATTGTCTTGCTTTCCTTTTCGATCCGTCCCGAAATAATTGTCTCCTTTCCTTATTTGGTAAACAAATCTCTACAAAACAGTGTCAAACAGTGCAAAACAGTGCCAAACAATGTCGCTACAGTGCCAAACAGTGTCGCTACAGTGTGAAGCCAACTTCACTTTCTTAATCTATGAGAAAGTCAAACCAGGACGATTATTTCGGGACGAAGGTAGTACTTTAGATTAGAGCTATTCAATTTGAAAATCATTAAAAATGAATAAGAATATAAATTCACTTTAAGTTTTTACCAATAAGGAAATAAATTAAGTGTTATAGATGGATGTTAGGGGCAAGGCTGTTAGAAACCCTTGGACGAATGCATTTCTATGTATGCTAGCCTACCTATTAGATGCTTTTAGGGGGCACATGACTAGATGACCTAGAGAAGCTAGATGTCACGCCAGCCACTGATGGGCGTCTAATGTCTTCGAGAACGCTCACTGACTACAGCTATTTAAATGGCAAAGCAAATGGTTCCATGCATTATATTTTGCCCCGAAAATGAAAAGAAAGCATGATGAACCTCAGTCACATGATCGATGAAAAGAACTATACTTGTCTGATCGAAGTAAAATCCGCCTTTCGAGTAATACCGCAGTAAATAGCTTGATTACATTGTCAACATCCAAACATTGAACCAAAGGCTGGAATGATATCTGGAACAAGTGAAATATCCAACTTAATGGGTGTCAAATTTCCAAATGGTATATAAACAAAATGTCTAAAGTCAATAGTCTAACAAGAGTGATGTGCATACATCAGCATGGGGAAGCCCATCTTTTGGCGGAACCTCAACACAAAGCAGACTATTCTCCACCGAGAACAGCACCTTATCCCTCCCAGGATTAGGCAAAGGTACATTAGAGACAACATTCGCTATGACTTCCCACAATGGCTTGCTGAAATAGTTGAAGAGCTGTGAGTACTTACGTAATGTAAAAGAGATAATGATATGATAAAGCTTTTATGTGAAGTTACTGAATATGCATGAGAAAAAGCCTCAGCTTGAGGTTAAACAGTTTTTCTATTCTGCCCATTTTCATATGACAAGAGTGAAATATTTTACAACACAAAATGTGTTATACCACTTATATGAATTAAAAGAAAATCTCACATACTTTCAATCTAAAATGAATTTAGAATAAGACTACAAAATTATCTTCCACACACAAATAGGAAAAGGTAAATGAATGAAAAGGCAACACTCAGATATGAAGATGCATATTAATTGCAAATTAACTAGTCGTGTTCCATGATATGTGTGTTGATTTGATACTATCAATATTATAATGGGACATGGATATAGCAACTATTTCAATATATAACCATTACTGACATAAATGTGACTTGTATGATCAATGCTGGTGGGCTAAAAAACACAGAAGCAACAGAAATACTATATGAAAAATGTGATCATAATGTTGGTCTACGAAAAGAATTAATAAAGATGATTATGATGGAAACACAAATCTTGATTTTTCGAGATGGACGCGTGGTAAGACTGAAAAAAGATAAATTGCAAAATGAGGAGATTTGTGGAAGAAAGGAAAATGAGTGCATTAGTGGAGAACCTCAGATTATTCTCTATGGGTTCATGTAACCAACCCTATTATTCTGGAATAAGGCTTTGTTGTTGTTTTCCTTTGTAAACAAGTTGTGGCAGGCAGAAAGCATCCATTGTAAACCTTTGATGTAGCAGTTTTTGCATGAACTTGTATTGTTAACTAATTTTAGACAATTCGTCACCACTACAAATTTCGAGCACCAGCCGCAAATCCTCAACATAGTTGAAATTAAGGTGGTGGTGGTGGTGATGAACTCACTTTTAAACAAATTATGTGGCTCATTCAGACGGATAAACAACACCATCGTCCAAGTTTGAAAATCTTGTGAAAAGAAAAAGCCTAAGATGGTGTTATTTGAAAAGTTTAAGGTATTATAATGTCGCCTGCATAACTTTTATCTCAAAAGGAAGTTGTTGACCATATTGAGGTGACTTAAACGATCTTGCTAAACATCGTGCACTAATTGTAGGCCTTTTAAAGGTAAAAATGGTGTGAGTTAGAACTCAAAACCACAAGATTAATTTTTTATAGATGATCTTGAAATGTTAGCAAAACAGTTGTTGTTTTCTAGCAACTTTGTGGCAGTTCAAAGACACAATTTATAAACCCCTACCTACTTCCATAGGAAGAAAAGCAAAGTGCGAAAATTTCCTCCAGAGCATCTCGTAGAATTCTGAAGCTAGGTAAACGTGAAACAAGGCAGATGCATTTATCAGCAAATGAATTTGCAGGAATACGATAAGCATCAGCAATATCCTCGCAAACAAGATCTCGGAATGCAATGCAACTAACATAAATCTTCGACCCATCACCCTCTGCAAATGAAGTTGTGTCCATAAAAAAGATAGCATTACAGTGTGATTCATCATGCATAAAGGGTACAATGTAAGAAACTATGGAGATTCACTGGACAAATAAAATGTGGGATCGATATCCACTGGAAATTAGAAAGCTAAATCGCAAGTACAATATGCATACCAGTTAAAACAATAGGATAACTCTTTGGAAAAGTTAATAGATTGTTAGAGTCAAATCCAGATGGGTAGAATTCCACGCCAGCTGGTAGAACACACTGCAAAGTAAAACTTGATAAGCAGGAAGCACATTATAGGACAGTTTTTGTACATATGTGAATAAATACAAAAAAATAGGCTATAAGAGCCTTATTGTTAGGACAAAAATAAAGGATCCCTACTGCATTATGCACAAAAGCACATTTTAAACATCAAAGCTTACTCTCCACGTAATAAGGCTTTAAGATCCTTGAGGTGCACAATGCAATGCACTAAATATAAGCTACTAATACACCTAAAGCACAATGACAATGCAAAAACCAATTTCATCAGACTTCTAATCAAAATGATCTCAGTGCACACTGGAAGATTGTGAAACTGATGGCATCACCTACTAGAATACTCAAACGAAACAAATGCAACGAAATATCCATAAATAATGCGAATTGCGTGAAATGAATGAAGTGTTTGCTAAAAGTATTTGAACAGTGTATAAAAATGTAGGGAAAATGGGAAAATGCTTTACAGTAGACAACTGAGGAGGAGGAGGAGGATAGAGAGAGTGATTGGGAGGCGGGTACTGATCCAGAAGGGAAGCAAGGTACATGGACCCTGTTCCATGGTAACCTCTTTGCCCGTCTAGCGTCCGAATCTCCGGCCCAATTCCGCATACCACGAAGTACTCGAACACTCGAGCCATTCCGCATCAAAAGCTAAACCCCCTCAGCTAAATAACAATAACGGGAAGAGAATGGGGGCTTTGCTATGGATCTGAACAGCAGAGACTCTTTAGTTTTCAGACCTGGGGAACGAATAAAAGTCGAAACGCGTGTTGATCTTAGTTCGCATTCAGTTTATGTACCATCAAGGCATCAATGGCGAAACTATGTGAAGGCATTGCGTTCTACTGTTTCAGGGCTTCGGATGATTTTCAATGTCGAGTAAGCTCCTTCCCGCAGTCCGGACGGGTTCGGGAATCTCTGTTAAGATTACTGTTAACCAGTAATTCCGTACTACAGGTTCTGTTTTCTTAATTGTCAAATGTTAACCAGGTTCGTAATTGTGAGTTATGACATTTTCACCATTCACATTATTTTCCAGTTTTGTTTTCCGTTTTAGTTCTTATAACAAATTAAGATTTATCTATCATGTGTATAAAAAAACAAATTTGTAACTTTAATTTAATCATTTAGAATTATACCCCATAATCAATTAAAAGTTGATGTAACAAGAAACATGTCTAATATAATTTATCGTTGATTATTGAGTAGTACACAAATTTTTATAACACTATAAAATGCTAAGTAGCACGCAGTGATACAGTATAAATATAATTAGAAACGAACCTAATTTAATGCTAAATGTTAAGAAACACTTTTTTATACACAAAAAATTTTGTTTCAATGTTCATTCCTCTATCATTGATTACTCTAGACACAATCATGTAAAGTTAATCATGACTAAAACAATTTTTTGAACAACAAACCAACACGCGATAATGACATGTTGTTTTTTACTTTTGTTTATAGTCACGACATATTAAGTCATTTTTAGGTATTATTTTATCCGAAATTGGAATGCCAAACTCACATATGAAGGTTTTAAGCAATGCTTTGGAATTAACACATTTTGTTCCGCACTACGCCCTGTTAAAAACTTTTCTTCTAGTAAAATGTTTTGCTAGTAATTTACTCGTGCGATGCACGAATGATTGTGACAAAGATTTTGTTCATTTCCAAAGTAAAGGTTTATATATATATATATATATATATATATATATATATATATATATATATATATATATATATATATATATATATATATATATATATATATATATATATATATATATATATATATATATATAAAAACCTTTATTATGCCTTACATTTTGTGTTGCATATTTTGATTTCACCTAATTCACATTTCAGTTTCACTTAATGCACATTCAATTTCATAGAATACAATCTAACGGTCCAGATTCATTCTCATTTTTCTCCTAAGATCATTTTCTCACTTGAACTTTATTGTGTGTGTGTGTGTGTGTGTGTGTGTATACACACACATATATTATGAAAATTAAATTTGTAAAAGTAATTACATATAAAATGTATTCGTGAAAATCTCCAATAACGTATGAAAAACTACGAGTATTTTTGATGTTGCAATTATTGAAAAAGTAACTACCAACCTCCATTATGGTGATGATATTATATTTTCTAATACAATGTTTGTTTCAGTTTAACTCTATAATCTCAATTTATCTTTATGTTTATGCTACAAATAATACAAGTGAATTAAAGAAAACATCTCAAAGTTAACTATGACCTCTAACTTGGCATATCAATAAACTATGTGCACAATGGATTCTAAATCATGACACAATCTATCACTTATAAATAGTTATTTGATATTTTATTAAAATTTTAGTGCACCGACTATCTAAGAGATGGTCAAAAAGAAATTTGAAGTCTTCATTATCACTATCGATTTTTAAAATAAAATACTACGGAGTAGTATTTAAAAAAAATCCTCTTGATGGAGTGTAATCCAAGAGCTAAATCTACGAAAACAGATAATAATTTGGCACCGTAAGGCAGTGTCTTATTGATCAGTGTCCCCCCCTTTCGAAGGTTTACAAGTTATATTTATAGACTAAGGAACTAGTGTTACAAAAGGAAACTGATACAATAAATGCTATCAATGATGCATTAGTTCGAATCGGACTCTTGTAACGCCTCGACCGTTATGCAATGATTGTTTCTTTATTCCCACGTTCCAGCCGTTTATCTCCTGCCAGCTGCCATCCCAATGATACCGAGTTCGTATACCATAGGACCGGCCCATTATGAGCATGCTACACCCGCATCAATACGACGTCGTTCTATTAAAAAAACGCGCACAACGGCCTTCTCGAAATCGGCGCGTCTTTTCTTCCCATAGCTGCGTCTTTTGACATTGGCTATTTACATTTCTCGAAAAACTTTCTGACTTCACGCTTCCATCAAGTTCCATCAGACAGAGTTCCACCATTCGAAGTGCATTCTGAAGAAGGAAAAGTAAGAATCCGAACGAAGAAGAACGTTTTGCAGATCGAGAAAATGACGAGGTCTAAAGGCAAAACAGTTGCAAGGTATTTCATCCGAACGAACTATGTACTTTGCTTTTTGAAGTTCAAAATGTATCTCTGAGAATGTAACAATATGATTCATGTGCTAATTTGCTATAAATTTTAACATGCATGTAAGTCACTCTCAAAAACGAAAGAGATTGAGTATTGAATAGTGTGATTTATGTCTTATTGTGATCTCAATTTGAATAAGCAAAGTGCGAATGCTCATATGTCATCGAGCATAATAAGGAATTTGTCAATGTAACTACAATTTTTGGTAATATAGTGTTGCATACCTCAATATGTTTGTGATGCCTTAGTTTGTCATTGATTTTTTTTGTGATATAGTGTTTCATGTCACTAAAACTAATACTAGATTAACTTTATTAATTTTATGTAACCTGTGTATAATAATACATAAATCCTCTGCCTTGGTCTGTGACTGTAAGCAAGTCCACATGACATTGTTCATCTGATTGTGAATGATGTAACTTCTTTTCACTTTTATGTAAATTGTGTGTAAAAAGATGTAACTCATGTGCTCCACATGACATTGTTCATCTGATTGTGAATGATGTAACTTCTTTTCACTATTATGTAAATTGTGTGTGACAAGATGTAACTCATGTGCTCCACATGACATTGTTCATCTGATTGTGAATGATGTAACTTCTTTTCAATGTTATGTAAATTGTGTGTGACAAGATGTAACTCATGTGCTCCACATGACATTGTTCATCTGATTGTGAATGATGTAACTTCTTTTCACTGTTATGTAAATTGTGTGTGACAAGATGTAACTCATGTGCTCCACATGACATTGTTCATCTGATTGTGAATGATGTAACTTCTTTTCACTTTTATGTAAATTGTGTGTGACAAAAATGTAACTCATGTGCTCCACATGACATTGTTCATCTGATTGTGAATGATGTAACTTCTTCTCAATTTTATGTAAATTGTGTGTAAAAAGATGTAACTCATGTGCTCCACATGACATTGTTCATCTGATTGTGAATGATGTAACTTCTTTTCACTTTTATGTAAATTGTGTGTAAAAAGATGTAACTCATGTGCTCCACATGACATTGTTCATCTGATTGTGAATGATGTAACTTCTTTTCACTGTTATGTAAATTGTGTGTAAAAATATGTAACTCATGTGCTCCACATGACATTGTTCATCTGATTGTGAATGATGTAACTTCATTTCACTATTATGGCAATTGTGTGTGACAAAAATGTAACTCATGTGCAATATAAGAAGAACAAGAAGTGATGTAGCTCCTGAAAATGAAACTCAGCATACAGAACATCACCATGAAACTGCAAGGATACTGAACACAGAAGAACCGATTCTAAGGCTAGAATATCATCAGCCAACAACAAGCAAAAAAAGAAAAGCAGCCCCAAAAAAGAAGAAAGCAGAATCTGAAGAATCAGACGATGAATGTGAAGAAGTGGAGACAAGCAACAGGCCGCCTTCTGTAAATCTAAGAACAAGAGTAGGACCAGCCCCTTTCATAAAGTTGATTAAACAATTAGATGAAAGAAAAAAAAGCAGCAGTTGAAAGGATTGGATTTGGGGGATTACTGCATTTAAACTTTGACAGATTCTGTGGAGATTTGGTTGCGTTTTTGTTGAAGAACTTTAGACCAATTTCAGGACAGCTACAACTTGCCAATGGTGAGCTGCTAGATATTGAAGATGAAGATGTCAAAGCTGTATTTGGTCTGCCAAAGGGAAAGATAGAAGTTCAAGAAGCGAATGCGAAGAATGAAACTGAAGAGTATACCCAACTGCTACAAGAATGGAGAGAAGAATGGGGGATTGATAAAGGAAGCCCTCAAACATAAAAAATGATTGAAAAAATAGTTGCAGATACTGACTCTGGAGACAGATTCATCAGAAACTTTGTGGTCTTTACAGTCTCTTGCCTGATCAGAGGAAACCAGAGTGTTAACAACAATTTTAAAATATTGATGTCTTTGGTTAATGTAGCTGATATACCAAACATGAATTGGTGCAACTACACAATAATATCGTTGATGGATGCAGGCGAGGAATGGCAAACTAATCAATCAAAGATGTTCAGTGGACCATTACTGTTTCTAATGATATGTTACTTTGACCGAGTACAATTCAAAGGCCAAATTATGCAGAGTGCTTATCCAACCATTAGAATCTGGGACAAGGAGAGAATTGACAAAAGAGTCAAAGATGAGAGAAAGGTGGGCTTTGGTCTGGGAAAGGTGACAAAGCGAATAATAACAGTCGAAGAGGAAGACAAAGATGAAGAGGAAGCAGGAAAAGAAGATGAAGAAAATGAAGATGCTGAAATGTTGTCAAAGGAGGTAAATTTTAATACAACACTTTGTGATCTTAAAGACTATTTTATGTAACTTAAATCAATTGTTACATAACTATAGGATTTTTCCAAGGAGCCTGTAATCTTAATTCAATAACTATGTATCTTATGTATTATTAAACAACTATTATTATAATTTTTATAGGATTGTGTGAAGGAGATTATAGCTGTGGCACAAAAGTTTAGTGATGCTTTTGTGGAATTCTCAAAGTTGCCGTCAACCATTGCAACAAAGTTCCCAAATTCTGATATCTTGAAGAAGATATACTTGACCACAGCTGATTACTTCATCAATCAAGCAAATGGAAATCAAGCAAAAGGAACTCAACGATTATCAGAGAAGTGTGTCCTTGAGGAAGATGATGACTTCTTTAATGAGCCTGGAGTTATGGAAGCCCTTGAGAAACTAGAGAAAGCAACATTCCTGAAATTTTCAATGCCTTCATTTGACATAGGAATTGAGTTTAACATGTCACAGGGTGAAGGCACATCAAAAGTGGATGTAGAAGCTGTGAAGACTGAAACTGCTCATGATGTACAAGATGTGATGACTGAAACTGTTGATGGAGTGGAAGATGTGATGATTGACACCATTGCTGGAATGACTGAAACTGTTTCTGTTGATGGAGAAGTGAATGGTAATGTTGAAGTGGCTGAAGTGGCTCAAATGGCTGTTGAGGAAGAAGTGACTGGAGATGATGGAGAAGTAAACAAGGAAATTGATAATAAGTCAGAGTAAGTTTTATTTTTTTCTTATGTAATTCATCAATACTTTTAACTAATAAAATAAACTTAACATTATATTATTTTTTACAAAGGAGTGTTGGTCTAAAGCCATATACCAGAAAGAGAAAGCTTCGAAAGTTAGGTGATTCAATTGTCAATTACAGATCACCTTTTCTGAAGAATAATAGAAGGCTATGCAAGGAATTTAGCAGAGATGAAAAGATTGTTCTTGATTGGGGATTCTCAAAAGAAGTTGAAAAGTAAGAAAAACTAATATTATATAATGTATTATTTCAATATAAACACCATTTGATAATTAATTGTTTCAATTTGTTTGAAAAATATTATTCTGTTAGAGACTGTGTCTATATAGATGAGGAAGGTGTGTTTATAACTCATGAAGAAATCCAGACACTTCAAGAAGGAAATGTAGACAACTCAATAATTGATGCATTCACTAAGATTCTGAATGACAGAGAAGAATCAAATAAGTCTACAAAGCGTGCCTTCATTGCGTCAACCCAAGTATATGTATGTATATTTTTTTTTTGTAAAATTGTAAAATAAAGTAGAGAACTTCAGTTTCTATATTTTCCTAAGAGTGACTCAATTTGAATGTGCAGGCAATGTTTGATTTTGCATCTGGTGACCCAATAGAAAATATGGTTGATAGATTGCAAAAAGAAATAAATGATGCTGCAGCAGATGTCACAAAATTAGATATGGTAAAATGTCATTAATATTTAATTTTACATAATTCAAGTGTAAAAACACAAGTCAAATTTGGCAATCCTTATATATATATTCTTAAATGTAAATCAGTGTGAAACAATATTAGTAATAGAAAATGTTTAGCATAATATGTAACTGCAGCGTTTGACTAATGTAAGTTCTTATATGAATTATGTAAACTCTATTGTTTTATGTAAGTCGGTGTATAAGATATATTGTTTAAAATGTTTTTAAAACAAAGGGTGAAAAATAATACCGTAGTATGTAACTACAGAGCTGAGTGATGTAAGTTCTGATATGAATTATGTAGATTCTGTATTATTTTATGTAACTGAAGATAAATTTATAATAATGCAGATACTGTTTCCCATTCACAATCATGAGCACTATTATATCTACTGCTTTTACACAACAAACAACATTGTTGATGTAATTGACAACCGGATGCTTCCAGATGGGGTGAGCGTTGAGGACAAATATGGCAAAACTTTGAAAAAAATGGTAAAAATTCAATACAATGTTTTTGGAAATAAGAAATCATATTATTCCATATTATTTTAATTCATTAATGTTACTTCTTGTATAGCATGAAGGATTCAAAGCCTTATGTGAGAAAGTGCAGATTTCAAGCACAACAAGTTGGGTCCCCAGAATCTTATACATGCCATGGAGACATAATAGCAATCACGTTGACTGTGGAGTATATACTTTGCGTCACTTGGAGACGTTTTGTGGGCAAGGACATGTATGGGATTCTGGATTTGCAACTGCTGCCACAAATGATGGAATAAAAGCTCAAAATGAAACAATCCAAAAGATGAGAGTGATGTATGCAGCTCAAGTTTTACTGTCAAAATTTAACAAAGAAAGGGAAAACATATTGAAAAAAGCAAAAGACTACTTGAAGATGTAATTAATTAATATGATGGGGTTACAGTCAAAACATTTCATGGTTTTATGGAGGGTGTGGTGGTATGCGTTATGCTGTAGTTATCTGTTTGTATGCAGTAGCTTGTAATGCAGTGGTATGGGTTTTAGACATTTCTTGGTTTTATGCAGTAGCTTGTAATGCACCTCAAAAGTTATCTGTTTAGTATGTGGAAAACTTATATGTTGGATTATGATAAGTTGATGTAAACTAGTTTGTTTTATATGTTTTATGTCGAATCCAACGGCTGAGATTCATTCTCACTTCTCACCTAAAACGTTCTTCTCACTTTATATAACTTATGTACACTTGCATTAGCTAATCAAGTAATACACATCTGATGTAAACAATGAGTACAACAAATGTAAGTCACGTTAAAGAACTATGTAACTGAAGGGAAAAACAATGTAACTACTGTTACTGAGCTGTGATTGCACAGATTACATTCTGTAATATAAATAAATGTAAACAAACTTGATTGCGTATTGTATTTATGGCAATGCTGTATGACATGTAAACAAACTGTAAAGACAATATAAATTCCATAAAATCAAATGTAACTCAAGTTGCAACAAAAGTAAAAGTTCACAATATGATATGTAAACTCCTCAAAGCATTTGGTTTTCCAAACATGTGTGACTATAACTAATTCTGCATTTGGTTCAAAGCATTGGATTGCATGAAGTATGGAGCAAAAACTTGTGGAGATCCAGACACATGCATTAAAGACGTCATTCCTCCAATTGGATGAGCAAGTACATAACCTTGTGGAACCATGAAATTAACAGTGTCCTACAATCAAACAAAACAAAAATTAATGATAAGAAAATATGCATAAAATACATAAAAAAAATAAACAAATACCTGTACAACAGATTGAGCAACTGCTTTTGAATTGGAGGCAACATTTTGGGATTTTGAACGGTGAGCTTTGACTATTTTGCACTGTTTCTCAACAATACTTCTCTTTCGGGTATTTCGCTGACCTTTAGAACGAGACCGTGGAGGATCCAATATTGTCCTAGAAGCAGATTCATCCACAACAGAAGCATCTCTTTGTGCATCTAAAAAATGTTTAATAGACTCGTATCCTTGATCACATACTCGTCTAGCTTCAGGAAAACCAGCACTTGCACTCAATACTGAGTTGAATTTCCTAGTCATTTGCACTCTCCAAACAGAATCTTCCAATATTTTGCCAGACATAATATCGGTTCCGTGCGTAACAGAAAGATTAACATTTGGCAGAATGGCAGCCTTTGTCCATCTAGAGAGTATATAAACTTGGGGAATACATTTGACACAATGCACATTATATATACGCAAAATGTGTCTACAAAAAATGCCAACTTCAGAAAACATCTTACAAGTGCATGTCACTGTGTTGTCATGCCGATTAAAAGTAACACTGTGTCTAATCATATCTACCCCATTCAACCAAACATGATACACATAGTCATGACAATTCTGTGAGATTAATTTAAAAAAATGTGACATACCCTTCAAATATTGTTCTTGGAACACTTTGAAAATCTCAAGGGTATACACATCTCTCGCATGAGTCAACAAAGTGTCTTGTAGCAATACCATCTCAATGGTGCCTCCAGAACATCTAAAATCATGACCATTCTCATCTAACCTCCATTCATCAACAACATCACAAAACATTTTGTAAAAATCACATAATGTTGCAGTCTTGGTAAGTCTTCTAGATATAGATCTATTTGTAGATTCACTTCTTTGAGAGGATAAAACACCACCAGAGAAGTAATCCTTCGAAAAAGCAGGACACCACTTTTCTTTATGACTGTACAGCCTCTTCAACCATGTGTTGTCACTGCATTCATAAACTGTATTCAATCTGAAACAGATTTGAAAAGAAGACAAGATTACATATGAAGATATATATGTTACACCAAATGATTGAAAAAGTTACATAAAATAATCACGAAGTTACATCAGATAACAATAACTTACTCATTCCAATAGAAATCAAACTCTGCAACAGTATCACATCGTTTGACAACATAATCAAAAAGAGAAACAAAATTTATCTTCTTGCGTAGATGCATGATGTGTTTCTTTGAATTCTCATCTATATGCCAAGTGCAGAGTCTATGTCTCGCCCCAGGAAATACAGATTTGATAGCCGTTGCCATGGAAAATGACTGGTCTGTCATGAAACTGATGGGGTGTTTACCACCCATAGATTTCAGAAAAGTCTGAAATAACCAAACAAAAGACTCCACTCTTTCATTTAGAATAAAGCCACAACCAAACATTATATTTTTACAGTGGTGATTCATACCAATAAATGGACCACAGATCATATCATACTTGTTAGTCCTGTAAGTTGTATCATGCACAACAAGATCTCCAAACCTCTCATAATCAGATCTCATTTGACCATCTCTCCAGAAAAAACAAGTCAGTATACCATCAACCAACTCAAAATCAAAGAAAAAATCACATTCCACTTCAGCCCTTTTCTTAAATATACCAATCAAAGTGTTCGAATCAGTACCATCAAACGTTTTACTTCTTTCAGATTCTAGAACGTTATAAGCATCACGTTTCGTGAATCCAAGAGCACTAACACCACCAGCCTGTTTTTGAAGCATCCTATGAACATATGAAACCTTTGTTCCACTCTCCTTCATCAACATAATAAATTCAAGATACTCACGATCAACGCCTCTATGTGATTTCAGCAGGTGTCTTTGACCAATTGCACAGAAAGCATGGTTGTGATCAATAATATGCTTTGAGACAGTCCATTCACCATCACAACTAATAGAAAACTGTAACATCGCTTTACAACCAGTACGATAATCTAACTTGGTATACATTTTGTTTTCGGTGCCCTTTTGTAGTTTCTTCCCTTCTTTCCAACAACAATAAGACCTCATAGTCAAACTTACATTCCCACTCCTAAACCTCTGTCTGCGTCTACGAATACCAAATCCATTTTCAAAAGCATGATCATTGTAAAGTTTGTAAGCATCCTGTTCACAATTGACACTAAGCCCAACAAGTGATTTACTTTCAGTTGACTGGTGAACATTTTCCAATGAATCTGCCAATTTATAAAGCATATATATGAAAAACAATCAACAACTACATACTGTCACAATGTTACATTAAATTAAACAACAGTTACATATCAGAGAACACAAGTTACACACATTTGAGACGCGAGTTAAATACCATCGAACGGAATTACAACCAAAATGAAATGAAGTTACATGACAGAATAAATACCTCTGCTAAGAAGATATAACAATTTAGAAGCTTTTGAAATAGTATCTTCTTCTCCTGAACATAAAATCAAAACTATGAATACTCATACAATCGAAATTCTCAAGCAATGGTATAAAACAGAGAACATGATCAACTTCGAAAAACATGAAAAATTCATAAAACATAAACCAGCTGATCAATTCATAAAGCACGAAAAATTTATACTTACCAATCAATTCAACATCAACCAGCTGATCAACTTCGAAATCATTATCATTAATTGAATGATTAATGTTATCGTGTGTATCAGAAGCAAAAAGAGCAGAATCGTCGACAGAAAAATCCATCTAAGAACCTTAGAAACGAATCGAAGGGATCGCAGAGCGGAGAGAAATCAGTTATCATGAGCTGCAGGTTCGATTAATGAAAAGAGCTGATCTAATTTTTTAATAAGCAAAACGACGCCGTTTACGACCGGTATACCATGCGGATGGTAGACCGGTCGTAGGGTATAATTTGCGAATGATACCATGCCACGTCAACCCTAGGAATATCCCAGCCTCACTAGAACTCCGCCAAGGCTCGAGGCATGCTTTCCAGCCTGGCCTGGCTGTGGGTTCTTCTCGCGGGCTTGGTTCCTAATTTAGGCCCAACGGCCATCTATCATTACTTCTGATAAAGGTTGGTCCCGTTTATGGGCTAATCCCGTTTATGGGCCGGACTTACGCAATTGGGCCATGGTCGGGTCCCATGGTACCATACTACCATCACTTCCGTTCTTTTTTATTGCAATGTTTCTATTTTCACGTTTTCTAACACACAACTTGTGTACATTTACAAATGAACGTTCCCCAATCTTTTTGTTTTTGCTTTTTTTATGAATATGATAACAATTAGGGGAGATTCGACTTTGTACTCCATTTTAGATGATATTAGATTTTTACAACTCATTTTTGCAATCATAAATGTTTGCACCCCGTTGTGCATAAACTGATAAAAGTATTTAACTTTTCACCCTCATTCTTTCACAACTTTTGGAATGATAGAGTATAGGGAGATTTCCCAAATTAGGAGTAAATGGAGTTTGAAATTCCAAAATAGGACTACTTTGTTTTTATTCCCGAAATGGGACTAACATGACAGTATTTACTGGCATCTTGTAGCCGTGACTGCCAAATAGTTGCTGTATAGTGCATTTAACATGACAATATTTATTACTCGTATAATTAATGACAGTATTTTTCAATCATGGCACTATTTTTCATACATGACAGTAATAACTCCTATTTTGGGAAGAAAAACGTACTAGTCCTATTTTTGGAATTCCAAGTGTCATTTACTCCTATTTTGGGTAATTTCCCTAGAGTATATCATTGATGATTATGAAAATAAGGTACATCATTTATGATTGTGAAAATATGGTGCATGTTCAAACTAACCCATAAATTGTGGTGTATCTTCTTGAAATTTATACTCCCTCCGTCCCGAAAAGGTTGACCAAAGTTGACTTTCACGTGGATTAATAAAGTAAAAATTATGTGGTTGAAATTTGAGCAGAGGAGAGAGAATTAATTTTAACCACATATTTCTTACATTAAATGAAAATGGCAAATCTTTTTGGAACATCCAAAAAATAAAATTTGGCCAACTTTTTCGGGAGTACTATTTAAGGAGTATCATTTATTTATTACTCAATTTTCTAAAAGAATAGATGCATACGGAGTATTACAAAATGTTTTATGGGCAAATTCTAAGAAAAGTGATATATAAATCAATATTAATGGTTGCAGTTTTAAAATGTATACGTATTAAGAGTATTTCTATAAAAGTGGAACATTAGACATATTTTATTTTAAGAAATTATCCTAAATAGGTATAAAACATCCGGGACTTTCAAAACATCACTAATATGTTTTATTCTCTAAATAAAAGTAAACTAATATGTTTTACTCACTAAATAAGTATTTATTAATCATGTTTTGAGTTACGAAACTTTGAATAATAAAAACATACTCCCTCCATCCCTTATAAGTTTTTCATCTTTCCTTTTTAGACGTCCCAAAAAACTTTGTCTCTCTCTTTTAATCAATGAATTTGTGATTCTTGTTATTTTTTCCTCTCTGCACAAATCTTAATCATACAGTTTTTATTTCACTATTTCTCGTGCGAGTCAAACCTAGCAAAGTTTTGAGAGGCAGAGAGTAATACTCATTTTTTGAAAAACACTTTCTCATATTTAGATGATTTTCTTATTTTTAAGTTTTTAACCGGACAGAGAATGATTTAATAATACGTAGTATAAAAATAACTAACATGGGGAGTCTTCAAATATATATTACTCCATAGTAAACAGAATAACAGATGCATTGTTAGAGTGTTAGACATCCATAATTCCATATTGATCATTATTTTAGGACAAACTTATTAAAGCGATAGTTAATTTGGGGGCAAGGAGGGTACATTTGGTAGACATTTTTACAATTTTACTCTGTATTTTAATGGGTAGCTAATATATTACTTTGTACAATAGGTTGTAGTGTTGTACAATATCTAACTTCAAAGGCACATCACTTTGTAGCTAACAGAAAAATGGAAAAATGACATGACACATTACGATCCAGTAATAAAGGATCATATTGTTGACCTAACGAAGTTTACAGAAGAAGCGCATTTCATGAATTAGAACATACAGTGATACAGAGGATACTACTAGTCTCCCCGAGAATTCAGGTGCACCCACCATCAGTTTTGGAATTCAAGTACCAGTAAATACAACATTTAGCTCTACCACTAAACAGCAAACATTAAAATTCACAAAAGTTCCTATCTGCAGAATAAAAACAATCATGATTTTTCCAGTGTCCTCTTTTTAATTGTGATCTTAAATTTATGTGAAGAGCTTGCAGGAGCAGCAGAGGGGACTACACTATCTCTAGATGCAATTACAGGGGCAGGGGTAGTATCTGCTCTATCAGTTTCCAACTTTTCTCTAACTGACTCTCTCATTCTAAATTGTAAAGCTATATCTTTCGTACGAGGATCTGCATTCCTCATGTACAAATTAGACACTGATGGATTTGTTGGAAGGCCGCCCATAGCTACCCTAAGTGTAGCTTCATCTTCTTTATGGCTTGGATCAATTATACTATTACTATTAGGGGCATCATCACCTTTAAGCAACTTCACTTCACTTTGAATATTTTCTCTGTGTTTTTGTATCTCCCCAGAAGATGAAGGCCTTGCCCTATCATCCGAGAGTTTTGCCATCTTTTTCTCTTTACGCTTCTTCTCCTTCTTTAATCTTTTTCGCTCCAAGTACTCCAGATCATCAAGCTTATTTTTGTGTTTTTTACCGCTCTTCTCATCCCTGTGCCTTTTCTTATGTTTTCCTTTATTGTCATCATTGTGAAGATTAATTGTATCGATTGAACTACAATGAACATCAGGCCTAGAGAAAGATAGTGACTGTAAACTTCCAAATTTAGGACCAACCATATCTGCGACACCATCTCCACCAATTCCAATAGGAATTTGATCAGGAAGCTTCGGTAAAGAAACTTTACTTGATTCAGCAGTACACTGGAGCTCTTTTAATATTTCTTCACCATCTGTGGCAACTTTTACACTACCAATGCTAGCAGTTACTCTAGAGCCAACATCATGACAAGAATGATCCTCAATATTCTGACTATTAACATTTGTGACCTCAAGACCATTTCGTATTGCATCTACAGAGACAGAACTGCTTGCCACGCGATCAATGCCATGAAGACCATCATGAGTTTTATCCAGCGTTGCATTGTCTAGATCCCCAGCGCAGCTGGATGCAGTAGACTTTTTAACTTTGATTCGAAAAACAGGTTTCTTTCTATCATGCCTAAAAGAAATGGTTTCATGTTCTCTAGAAGCCTCCGCTGCGTTCAGCAAACCATCTTGTAAAATGCTATCACCGGGTTTGTGACTTTCAAGAACACTTTCTTCCATAGAGCATGTAACCGGAACATCCTTGGGACACGGAGTCTGTTCTGGTTTTATGTGTTCATGGATTTCAGGAAGAACAGGATGTTCCGAAGAAAGTGGTATGTCATGCAATCGTGCACAAGCACCAGCAGCAAAATTTGCCTCATTAGGCACTTCAGTAGCTAAACTATGTATATCTGCCACAAGTTTACCATCTTGGGGAATGTCAGCCATTGAAGACATTGGTATACAACCGACAGGTAAGGCGTCTATTTTCTCTGCAACAACTATGTCATGAGGTTGAGCACAAGGACCATCTTTTGTTATTCTATGGTACTGATCATCGGCTTCTTTCAGAGTCCCTGGAATCGAGGGAACATCTTTTCCAAGTCCATCTAGACAAAGTGCAGGACCAGCTACTTCTGCAGGAATCTCTAAAGCAATTGGGTCATCATGTCTAACCATAAACTCGTCCATATGAAAGTCAGATGGATTAGATTGTTTGACGAGGGCAGCAAAAATATTCTTAAGCTCACTGCAAGTCTTGGCATGACCCATGCTCTCATCTCTTGGCAATCCATGTAGTGTTGGAGTTCTAGATGAAAGAAACAATAAAAATAAGTAAAAACACAAAAAAAAAAATCCTAATTGCATATTATAAGCTGGCAGAAGATCAAAATACCCAATGTGTTCCACACAAGTAATCAAAGATATAAAGCAATTATAAATTATGTAGATATCTTGCTTGGGGCTGTGAAAGGCTTTTGACAATTACACTCACCAATTGTATAATCACTAATCAACGGATCAATCATACCTTGTCTACATATTGTCATCAAATATCTTATTCAAAGCGACTGCATAAGCCAAGATAGCACTTAGCAAGTAGTTGTAGTTGAGTGACTCAAGTTGAGTCTCTAAGAAGAAGAATCAAATACCTTATTCAAACCGACTACATAAACCCAGGGCCCAGACTAGCTCCCTTGGCCGATTTTACAACAAAACTTGAGAGCCCCTATATTTTTAAAATCACAAATGACAAAACTAAAATACTTCGATTAAGCAAAAGATACACCATGATCATTCTAGCTATTGTTAGGGATCCCTTAGTTCAATTATTTTGCTTAAAAAAGGTTTAGGGGTAACTAGGTTTGGATTCCACAATGGTAACTGTAAGAGGATTGTTAAAAAAGGTAACAGGAATGATCAGGTAATTAATAGGTTCAATTGATTAATTTGATTAGTGGGGAGATGTTATATTATTTGTAGGAGAATAATTGATGAGTTTTGGGCCCTTCGATGGTATGCCAAACACCATTAATGGAAATGGCAACTTGGGCAAGCTTTGAGAGACCTTAAGGGTGATTACCAACTCTGCTTTTGAACAAAACAGAACTACAGAGTAATTGAGTTTTTTAAGTGTACACCACTCATTCTCTTTTCCAAGGACAGAATCAAGGCCACACGTTTGTCTCTGAGACCATGATGAAGGAAGGAAGAAATATATGTAAAATGTTCAAACAAAAGGACAAAGAATGCACATTTCATATCCTTGAAATACTAGCATGAATACAAGACCTACTCTTATATAAACAGAAACCCTGTGCAGCTGTGCATGCCTGATGCAACTAATGAACAACTAACTTTCTACCTTTTTGCAAATAGAACTCGGCACTCAATACCATACATACATCTACATAAATCAGCAGTATATGCATATATACAAACCTTCTGGCAAGGACTTGTAAAATGCAGAAGATGTAATGACGGAGATACACGTTATTGAATGAGATAGGGCTCTCAAGAAGGCGAAGCAATGAAACAAGGGTTTCACTCTTCACTTCATGGCAGTAATCTGATTCATTTCTTATCTGACATAGCCTCATAGCATGCACACCAAGCTTTACCTGACCTGATATAATATTAACAATATATATACACACACAAGTGTCAGCCTTGATGTGAACAATGTGAGTACACAGAGAAACTCTAATAATAGAACAAAGATTCATAACCTCTTAAAGAAGACTCTTCGCCCAAGTATTTGATGAACAATGCCAATGCAGCTTCAATGCCTTTGCACTGAAACTCAAGATCAAGGAGTGACCTACTTGCTTCAACTCGAACATGCCATATTGAATTGGAAGATCGAAATTTTTCAATGAACTCAATTACGTTATTCTGCATCCATATGTAAATTTGAGCGATCACATAACTTAACTGACTAGACCAGTGATGGACCAGATAACACGTAAAGGAAATACATACAAGAGGTACAAATTCTGAAAGTTTCACAGCAATTTTGGTCAATGATCGGATGCAGCTTACAGTCAGAATCCCGTTGTGGCTAGGCATCAACCTAAAACAAGTCATTCTTAACACAACAAACAAAAGCAATAATTGACCTTGTTGCACATTATCCAACAATTCAAAGATAAGCTTACCTATCAAACTGTAAAAGTTGATCGAGTCGCTTCAGAAGGGATGGCAAATAAACAATGCTCTGTCACACAAAATACGCAATTAAGAAATGATCTATGTGGAGATGTAGCAGGAGAAGATACAAACTATTTGTAACTCCCATAATTAGCATTTAGAATATTGAGCCATATTAGCTCCTTTGATTGATGGTATATGACAACCAGCAGTGTGTGCTACGATTTAAAACAGAAATCCCAGAAATGCTATTAAGTAAAGCTATGTTTGTTATTGCTTCTAGCAATCCTAGACAACCAGCAGTGTGTGCTACGATTTAAAACAGAAATCCCAGAAATGCTATTAAGTAAAGCTATGTTTGTTATTGCTTCTAGCAATCGCTTCTTGACTTTTTTGTTTAAAAAAAGTAATAAGTGTTTGCAAATAGAGATTTTAGCTTTAGTTTAAGTGATTTTACTCAAAAGCGGAAAGCATCTATGGACATGCTTGTATCTGCTTTTAGGCTTTCTCGTAAATAAGTGAAAGTTTGAGGAAGGTTTTATCTTTCAACTTTTATCCCAAACCAAATATTATCCTTGGTGGTACTTCTCGTCAATAATGATTTGTCTTCTCCGCACTCAATAAACAGATAGGGGCGCACATTAACAAAATTGATGGCAAAGCTCCATTTTCGTTCCTTTACATCTCGACACAGGGAAGCTGTGGAGCATTATCCATGGCTTTATTGTACTAGAGAATCTTCCATTTATTTATTTTTATTACGATAAGGAATAGGGTTTGTAATCGTAATTTTGAAATTTATTTTCCTATCATGGCATTTAAAGGCTGTCGATTTTGATTGTACCCAAATATTTATGTCTTTATGTAAAAATTATGCATTCGGATTTCATTGAAGCTCTTTTGGTTTTTATCGATGGAGGATGGAATTGATTAGGGTGTTTGTTAAGGGCATTTTTGTGCATTCACTCAAATGTTAAACTACAAATCACTTCTATTTACAAACACTACCTACTTTTACTATAAATCACTTTTCTCATAATTACTTAAATAAATCACTTTTAAAAAGCACAAGCAAACACAAACATAGCCTAAGCACCTGTTGTCCAAATTCAAGTTCGCCAATGGATTGGACAAGAGCAGCCAGCCAGCACACATCAGAATAGATGTTCCCACTGTTATCATTATACTGCATAACACATAAACATAAAAAGATACTCAAAGTTCTTAAATACTGAACAAGCACAAAATTGACCAGAGAAAGAAGCTACCTTAAGAAGTTGTAAAACAAATTCAACAGCATCTCTTGGGCTTCTCTTATCTGTCGTTCTTACAGATGCAATGGCATGTGGAATAGCCTGCACAGATTACAAGGATTGAATCAGCTGCCCTTTTCAAAGGCTAAATTTCATTTTACTTTTGACTCTGAGTTTCTTTTTTCTTTTGATTTTTAGTTTCAATAAGATTCACATTTGAAGTAAGCAATCTGCTAGGTACAATACAAAGTGCAGTTCCATATACGTTGAAATACCACAAATTTCTGGAAAGAACCGATACCCCAGACTAGTGAATGGACAGTTTGGCATCTTTTATCCATTCCATCTATCGTCTATGGCTAATACTAGTAACTTTTAGCATGGTAAAAAATATTTCACCTAACATGACAGTAGCTGAAGTTGTTAAGTACAATAACATCATGAAACTTCACTACCTAATCCGATGAGACAAAGAACAATGGAAAATCAACTAAAAGCTTATGTTTGTAACACAATATCAGCCAAGCCTCTGCCTCATAAAGCTAATACGCTTTGAGGAAGTGTGACCACAAAACTAATAGCTTATCAGCATATCAAACCATCCTGGTCAAGGGAAAGATATGTTTGAAATGTAGTATCCAAAATTACTTTCAACGCAATTACCCTTTCCAGCTACATGTAACACAACTCACAGCCTACCTCATTGCATTACCTCAAGTACAAAATACTCTGGAAAATCTTGAAAGTCATTCGGCCTGTAAAGAATGAAATTGTAGGAGACTGAGTTACCTAAAATAAAACTATCAAAAACTTCAGTCAAGTATTAAATAATTGAAAGCTCACTTGGGAAGTCCAATATTAGAATCAAATCTTCGACTTTTGTAGAACGCAATCAAATGGAGCAAGCCAGCCCAATCAGTTTCCTGCATTCAAAATTATACCACATAAAGAAGACAAAATTAATTAGTTCACATATATTTTGAAGTAAGGCAGGTGGATGCCCCCACTTTAACCAGGCACAATGTTAAGAGAAAATGAAATTCTGGTTGATACTTGTTTAGAATATAAGTAGTAATCTGAACCACGTCTTATTTTCTTTAAAAGAAAATTGTGATAATTATGGGACAATTTTTGGATAGACAAAAAGGCAAGTGTGAAGGTGATTTTGGGAGTATTATTAATAAAGATCCGATCAAAGTAAATGAGGTGGCATACCTCAGATGCAGTATTAGCTAGGGCGAATGCTGCCTCAATCCGAACTTTCCAGAAAACCTTTACCAAAGAATAAAACTAAGTAAGAATAGCATAGATGGGACCCCTACAAAAGATTTGAGCATATGGAAGAGATAAGCTAGGGAAAGAGAGCACCTTAGGGTCATTGAGGATGCTGTTGAGCGCATTAATAACAGAGAATGAAAGATGCGGCAACGCCTGAAGTATTGCAATGGCTTGCACCTGTGCAATGACATCTTTGTCCCTTTCCAGCTGATTTATCTGTGAAAGAAGTATGAAATCAAAGGTAAGTGCTCCAGCAATTTTGAGGAACTGAATTGTGTTTTCCCCAAATTCTAGGTAGTTGAATCAAGAAATGGACAAAAAGTCAAATAGAAAAGCCAGATGCCATCATTTGAACCAAAATGAGAATATCCCAACGATATACAAAGCATGAAGTTGAAAGGTGAGTGATCTAGCACTTCACAAATAATATAACAACTACCTCAATATTGAATAAGAATGATAGTATGATACTAATAGAAACATATATGGCACAGATACGGACGCACAGAAAAGTGGACACATGGATATAGCAATATAGCAACACACAAACAACATCCAAGCCTTAGTTTCTAAAGAGATTGGGGTCAGCAATACGACAATATACGAGAATATAGGGTTCATTTAAATTATAACAAACAATTTGAAAACACAATTTTTATACAAAGAAAAAAGGTATGTTCTTTCAATTGTGTATAAATTATAAGATTTACAAAATATATTAGGGATAATGTATTAATAAACTATTATATTGGTATTTAATTTGTTAGTTAGTACGCGGTTTGTTACCTTGAAGTTCTTGTTCAATATGTAACTTTTATAGTACTCAAACATTCATCCAATATGCAAACAGTCAATAAGGAGTTATGTTTTAGATTTTTCACTTGCTAAGTGAATCCATCTAGCCTATGAGTATCCAATGTTTTTTAAAATGAAAAGTATGCCCCGTTTTTTGAGATTTTAGACACTCCCAGAATCATACAGTATGGGTATCGCGGAATATACGATAATGAATCGTTTCACATACATAGATAAGACACCTCATTGAAGTATTTGTGCTACATGGGTAGAAAGAGAGATACATATGTGGTGTCTTTATAATGATACATAACTGAACAAAAAGTTTAAAAACAACCAATGTTAACTCTTACCCACATCTGAACTGGTTGATTAAAAATAACTTCAGCTAAATACTCCATTTCCGGATCAGCCCGGAGCCACAACAATGGTGAATCAGAGCTACACAAGTATAGAAGCAAGCATTCAAAACATGAAACAGTACTTCATAGAAAAAGCAAAGTCAAAAGTACAACATTTACTGTGAAAGGAAGGTGTCATTGAGATACAAATATTTAATCTAAACGCACGTTGAGCGCATGTCTATGGCAGTTACAGCTTCATTTTCATCAGAACCATCAGGTTTTGAGCCTTTTTTTGGTTTTTGAAAGCGTTTTGCAGCAAGTCTGGAATGACATTGTATTTCAAGAAGCTGCCAAGACTCCCCAGTCATAGGAAGTATTGGATGGTCATACATGCCATCTATCTCATAAACGCGTATGCTCATCATACCAGGCCATCCGATATCACTTTCTCGGTTTTCAGGATCAACATTACCACTGGGCACGGGTGTATTTGTATCTGGTCTAGCTGTACATCCACGCAATGCTGCTAATTCAATCATGTTCTTTCTCTTGCTGTAGGAGAAGCCCATCCTTCATTAGGCACCAAAGAAAAGTAAGAATCATATAGCTGACAAGTAAAACAATATTAATGACCCAACACATAAAAAACTACGGAGTATTTGTCTAGCAAATCATACTTTAGAGCTGGACAGCCACATGATCCAATCCAACGAGGGAAAAATTCTTTTAGAAAAGGTCGCTCAAGATTCCCAACTTTATTTGCAAAGTGCCTAAACTGCATGATTTTATATAACATTAGATCATCATAATCAGTGCAGAATTCAAACTAAAAATACATAACTGAGATGGCTTTCTTACCAAATACCAATTTTAATCTATATTTTTTAAATCACATATAATGTATTTAAATTTTAAAATTATAAAGAGTTTGAGCATATAGGAAATACAAAGGGTTAGGACTTGGTTGAATACTTCATGTTATTTCTGTCGAGTCCTTTATGTATCTTCGTCATGTAATTTTTGAATATCATTGCTCATCCATATTCAAATTTCGATTCATGTCATGTTGTTGTTGATTGCTCATGTGTATATGTGTGCCCCACCTTAAGTTGTAGGGATGAAATACTCCAATACAAACCTAGAATCACATACATAGAATCAGAGCCACAATCCGTAGCCCTGATTTTTTTAGTTCTCATTGCACGAGTGATACTTTTATTGTGCAATCTTTAGTCCAATTGAGAGAGCACAATTCATCTCTAGAACTTCAGGTGATTGTAACACGCTTGGTGCAACCATCAAGGCAACCTCCACGTGCCATCCACTTACAGCAGCTCTGATACATCCTACAGGGGATTTTCTGGCAACCAATTCCAATCTCCTGTTTCAGATTTTCAGCTCATTTCGAGTTCTCGTGGTGATATTAAATATATTTCTCGTAGTAAATGTCCTGTAATGAAACTATTGTGGAGCCTCAAACTAGTGCTGTTACTGTTGCCTCTAGCTCTCTTTTGGTGGCTACTCACTACTGTTATAGTGTTATCCACAATCCCGGTGATTACCCTAAAAATCATGTGGGTCACAAAAATTGTCAATGTTGGTCTGATTCCACAAAAATTGACAAAAATTGTCAATGTTGGTCATAAAAATTTATGGAGCAAAGAGTTGTTGAAGACTTAGAATAGGGTGGATTAATGGTGTACGAGAAAATGACATGGAAGATGCTGATAATGCAGCTTGTTATGGAAGTTGTGTTGAGGTATGGAACCAAACTAAATCTCTCTAATTCTCTATATGCTGACGGCATGGTTAGAACAGAACAGAGCTAATCATTCCATTTACTGTAGACATCTACAGGGAAAGTGTATTTAGTGTAGTTATTTGTTTATTTAGTGTATTCATTTATTTCAACCTTTTGAGAAAAAGACTTCAGATATTTAAAATATCTGTAGGGACTAAAGTTACACAACCAAGACTAGGAATCTACATAACACAACAAAAGTGTGACTTGAGGTTGCAAACCAAATTCCAATGTCAGGCTCCTACCATATCATGGGGAGCCTTGTCATGAAGCAAGAGATATTGTTGTCTGATAAGGAGATTGCTTTATCTTACAGTTACCCCGCCATGATATTTCTTCCATGGTTAGCCCTTCCATTGACTCAAGTTGAAAACCTAATATCTTGGTGAGGTAAGAAGCACAATGAGGTTGTAGTTGTCAGGTCAAGTATGGAGGCAATATATCAATTTATGGCTCTTGGAACATGTGAATTAAGTTGGTTGAAGTTTTCTTTTAATGTGAGTGCCGGTGTCATCTTCGGTTGTGGACCCAATCCACTTTCTTCTCCATTTAAGCATAATAATTGTGTGTGTGCGTCTAACTAAATCTCTTTTTTCTCCAATAAAGCATAACTATTTCCGTGTACATAAAAATATACATATGTATACCAAACTATACAAGTGCATCACTTGGTCTTTCTACCCATGAGCAAATCACCACAATTTGAAACTCTCACATCTCATCTTCAATAGGTGCTACACCCACTTTTCACTTGATTGTCTCATTCATCACGCAATCTATACACATCCAACACAACGCATTTAACCCACACTCATCTATTGAATGTGACAGTGTTTTATCTACAAAATGGAGCCTACAGCTTGGTTGTCATACCTTGATCACATTGAGATAATGAAACCCTCTTCGATTTTATCCACCGCGTTTTGATTCTATACTATGGATGAGTCAATCTGAATTATGAAGCTCCAGTAACAACACTGATGGAGTAATGGGACTAGGCCCAGAGCTTAATCAGCCCAAGCCCCGAACTTGGACCCATGGATCAAAGTCCACAACCTGGAGCTTGCCTGCCAGCCCAGCGGGGAGCCTGCTTGTCCGGCCGACCTCCCAGCCCGGAAGAGTAACGGTCAAGCAATTAATGCGCTATTAATTATGTATTTAATTGTGTATTAATGTTGTAATTAATTAGTCATTATTATCGGTAACGGTTACGATTTGTATACGCCTATAAAAGGCGCGTTGTAATTCAGATTAGGGGAGACAACTTCTACATGCTATTTCTGGCAACTAAATCTCCTAGCTACTTTCCATTCTCGTTCTTGCTTTCCTAATTCCTATTTGAGTGTCGTACGTAGCTTTACTAAAAGCCTACGAGCGTCCTATTTTGGACCAACATTGGTGCTTTCATTGAGAGCCTATGTTGTCTCTCATCACTTTGGTAGGAATTAATCAATAAATTTCAGACAAAATGGGAAAGTTCGAAGGTTTCTATGAAATTTTCATGTCTATAATTAAAAATCTGAAAAAAGCATGAAAAGTTTGGTCTGGTAAAGCAATGGGGATCCGGATGTAGGCACCAGCGGCCACAAGGAAAATCGAAAGATAGCTCTCGGAACTCTACTGGCCGGCAACGCTGTCCAGCTACACAGGCAAACCTATGTCACAGTGGGACTGCCTCGCAACCGGTCGCCCTCGTAGCTGATGGCTATAGCCTGGATCGTGGCTACCGGCTCCATGACTCCATGGCTGTTGTTACTGAAACTCAATCTCAATAATCCACCATTAATGGCCGCCTTAGAGCTCTGGGAGTGAAGAACGACCACAGTAGGAGCAACAGCACTTCCGTCACAGCACCGCGCGCCTTAGATCTGGTCGCTCCGCCATCGAACGGCTGCCGGTGAGATCCGCTATTTGACGGTTGAGGTCGCGACTCCCTGTTGGAGGTCAGAGCTTCGCTTCTCCTCTAGCAACACTGGCCGAAGCCCACCTCTGTGGCGGCCATAGCCAATGACTTCCCAAGTTTCCTCACTGGCAGTGGAAACGAAGGGCGTGAGGGCGTCTCCTCCTCCCATCTCAACGAGCAGCGATGGCCGAGGTTATAACTGGTGACGACAACAATCAGAACCCACGCAGGAGCAGAAAGGGACAGGCTCACGGGTGCCTCACACCTCCTCGCTAATTGAATGCTTCTCTTCTTCACCTCACCTTCGCCAGGACGATGGCAAGTTTCTATACACCTCTCTTCCTGGCAATTGAAGCTACGACAGTGCCCTTAAGCCTGAAGCCTGATTGAGTGAAAAAGGATGGGCCTCTTTTTTAGTTGGCCCAGAATTGTTTCAACAACACACATCATCCATGTCTCATCTTAATCGAAAGCTAAGTATCCAAAAAACCTCCATATTTGAGATATCGAAAAAAAATCAAAAAAAATCATAGATTGAAACATTTGAAAAGATATTTTAAGTGATATGATTGCGTTTACTCTTGTTAAGTGTGTGTAATTTTAACATTGAATAACGGACTAATGAAATCTGATCACTCAAGTACGCCGGACGAGCACACACACTCGTACACTGGCCGAGCACACACACTCGCGCCACCGGGTCACGTCATACGGGTGTGACGATTAATAAGCTCCAATATAAATGTTAATACCGCACACTCTTGACTTCATACGAGTTCTCGCGTGCTCTTACCTCTTCCTAGTGCATCACATTCCGACCTCGGGGGACGAGTCACCCGTTCAAAAGTTTTTACTTGCAGGTTCGAACTACTAACCTTGGGCGGCGAGTTAAACTTTTGTTAGGGGCCTAGAGTCGCAATTTTGTCACTTAATTGACATTCACATTTCTCGAAAAGGTTGATATACTTTAGTTATTTGGGGTTGGATTATCCGTTCGAGTGAGGAGTCCGACTCACTTACTCGCGGATTCGATCTTTCTTTCAGAGACTGGGTTGAGGCCTAACTTGGGAACTTGATGTCACTCTTTTCAAGTAGTGAGTCCGACTCACTTACACATTGTGTCGTGGTTCGACACCAGGCCAAATGCTCTATTCTACACTAGTTTCTTTTATGTGTAGGTACAAGTGTACAACTGAATGAAGTGGGGGACTGAGGATCTTACCGTCTTCAAGGAAGCAAATGACAAACCTGACGAGTCTGAGCCCGACGAGAAGAACAGTTCTAGCCATCCTACTCGTTGATGGCGACCATTGCAATAAAGGCTGAGGATCTCATCTCTTGCTTCATCTTGGGGGCGTCAGATGTACTCTTTTTCCCTTCATTAGGATTTTTTCTCATTGGGTTTTTTCCTAATGAAGGTTTTTAATGTGGCATCTCCCCAACATGGATAAGGGCGGGGATCTTCTAGTCTCAGAGAAGAGCAACTGACTTGGACTACTCCCTCTTAGCCAAGTCTACTACTCGACTAAGGGAATGGGGGACTCGTGATGGAGTAATGGGACTAGGCCCAGAGCTTAACCAGCCCAAACCCCGAACTTGGACCCATGGATCAAAGTCCACAACCTGGAGCCTGCCTGCCAGCCCAGCGGGGAGCCTGCTTGTCCGGCCGACCTCCAAGCCCGGAAGAGTAACGGTCAAGCAATTAATGTGCTATTAATTATGTATTTAATTCCGTATTAATGTTTTAATTAATTAGTCATTATTATCGGTAACGGTTACGATTTGTATACGCCTATAAAAGGCGCGTTGTAATTCAGATTAGGGGAGACAACTTCTACATGCTATTTCTGGCAACTAAATCTCCTAGCTACTTTCCATTCTCGTTCTTGCTTTCCTAATTCCTATTTGAGTGTCGTACGTAGCTTTCCTAAAAGCCTATGGGCGTCCTATTTTGGACCAACAAACACATATCACCAACTGGAATCTCCTTGCCATACAAGGTAATCCCAATGTTACCAATGTTTCTATCACCACTAAACAAACACTATATATGTAGTCTTGTTTCAACTCAGCCTGATACCCTGGCCCTCCAAGGTTGGCCACCATAACTTTAACTTTATTTTAACTCCAACAATCCAACCCCATCTCATTGATCAAACATCATGCACCATGGTATATCTTTTTAATTGACTTCATGAGTTCATCCATGACTATGACAAACAAGAAAGGAGTAAGAATCAACCCTTAGTGCACTTTGATGGTAATAGAAAACTATCCTATCCATCTTATAGTAGTATGAACACTAGTAACACAATCCTCATACATGCCCATAATACTGTTGCTATATTTACGTGATATTCCTTTTCAAGTTAATGCCTACTAGAGGACTTCTGGGGGTACCCTATCATATGCCTTAGTTTGGAATACGTATACAGTATACTAAACTATATTATAATTACATCATAGAACTAATAAAAAGACTTGCAATACAAGGACACACGCAATTACTTATAAAATCAAAGTTTTAATTTAAACATTCAGACGATGTATGTTTTGTTGCGTATCAAATAAACCCAATGGGCCCAAATATCCATCTCAAATCATGTCAAGTGGTCTTGTTAAACTATTTACAAGATTGTGTACCGGCAATTTACCAAAACTAATTTAAAACGAACACATTTTTTTTCAACAAAAAGAATATTGCCAACACCAATATACAAAAATAAGATAGTAATGTGTGTCCAAAGACAGTAAGACCAGCAAATTAGGTTCATTCTATTTGGTGAAACTGGTCTTCACACCCCAATTTTGACTCCAACATTCGATTTTACATGCACCCTGGAACCTCACAATGAGGTGCAATTTCAACATGGCATGCAAAGTTTAATGAAAATGACGGTAAAATATGGGCTTGAAGACCATATTTCTTATTTTCCTTTCCTTTAATTTTCATACTCAAACTAAATGGTAAAGGGTTCCGTATTTCAATCTCCCCAAACCACAAAATCTAACAACATTTGATTTTCTCATCTAATTCAGACTTCAGAGATCAGTTGCCACTCTAAACAATAAACTAATTGAAATATCTGTGTGTAGAAAAATCATTATTTCATTAACAGTAATAATAAAAAAAACTCACACCTCAAGCATACCCTACCTTCATTGATGATACTCGAGGTTAAGTTCTAAGTAGATGAAATGCTGGATGAATATCACAAACCTCTTTAGTACTAAGGGTCCTCGATGAGCGCGTTGTGACATGCGCTTTTGAAATTATTTGCTGCAGAATCTGAAAATGTAAAATTAATCAACACCGGAATTTAATCGCCGACAAATTCCAATTTCTATTATACATACTTTTGAGAATTCTCTCGGAAAATTTAATAGACTCAACTAGAAAGCAACACTAGAAAATTGTAACTACTGTGCAAAGAACTGCAGAAGAGAAGAAAACTTATTTAGAAGTTAAAATAACAAACACAAAATTGCTTTTCATTAAGTCATATTTCATCTCCCATATTACTTGTCCAGCTACTATTCACTGATCAAACTGCACCTTCTTTCTAAGTTCCTGTTCTATATAAGTATATAACCAAACAATACCCAATCAAATTTGGAGATCTCACAGACAAGTAGAGCCTGGTGGAGGGTGAGTTGTACACGCACCTTATCTCTAACCAAAGTGATAGAGGGGTAGTGTTCGATGAAACCCTCATAAAAAGTGAAAGGTAATATTGACAATGTACTCCCTCCGACCCATTTTACCTGTCTTACTTCCCTTTTGGTTTGTCCCAAAATAAGTGTCATATTTCCTTTTTTGGAAAGTAATATGTGGTCCACAACATTTCACTTTATTATAATCAAATCTCAACCACAACTTTTACTTTTTCAATCACTTTATTAATAATTGTGTCAAACCAAAACAAGACACATAAAATGGGACGGAGGTACTACAAAGAGTATGCCAGATAAGCATAAGTAAGAACAGTCATGCAAACATTAATTATAGTAAGACACCTAAAAACTAAAAAGAAAGTCAATGACTATGGCAGCAAACACCTACAAAGTCCAATCCTTACAAGGACTCCGCTATCTTTATTGGGCGTCTCAACAACTCCTGAAAAAGATCATATCTTCAATGAAGACTAAAGCCTCGAAGTCCAGCCACAACTAGGGTTAAGTGCCACTCCAAGACCGGATCAGACAAGAACCGGAATCTTCAAAAACATTAATCGAAGCCCAGACCGCTATAATCCAGATCTAGGACCGAAACATACTGGTTATTCCAGGTCTTACCAGCCTGTACTGAAGTGGAATTATCAATGTTCTAAAAGCATTTTCTTTATTACAAAAAATGGCTTTATTGTTCTTTTAAAACATACAATTTTGATTACTCCCTCCGTCCCTTTGCCAACTTTCCTTTTTTGGTTGTTCCAAAAACTTTGCCACTTTCCTTTTTAGTCAATCAATTTGTGGTTCCTGTTATTTCTCTCTCCTCTGCACAAATCTCTACCACACAGTTTTTACTTTATTATTCTACGTGCCGGTCAAACTTGGCAATCCTTTTAGGGACGGAGAGAGTATTTAATATGAAAATAAAATTAATTGGGGTTAATGCTTAAAATATGTTTATCACTAATGTATGTTCAATAAAATATATTAAAAAATTATAGTTCTTACGTTCTGGTCCAGCCAATCTAGATCAAAATTTTTCAGGTTTGGACCATACTTGAATCCTCAAAACTGTGGACCGAAGACAAAACCCATATGTAATTGGTCAAGGTCAATTCTGGACCGGCTGGTCTTCCCGGTCTTGCAATAGCTACTGGATGTGTTCAACCCTAGTCTCAGCTAGTCACCTACTCAGCCTATGTCCTTCACAGCTTACCTCTCCTCATACCTTGACCCAGAGGTCCCAGGCACTCTCACCCCTTCTCACCTGCATTAATCTCTCCAACGAATGTGGCATCTCTTACTTTTTCACTAGTGGAAGTGACTGAAGCTCTGCCTGGAGGACCACATTCAGTATTCTATCCAATATAGTATAACTACATTGCCACCACCAACATCGTCCTCTCAGCCACTTTTAACTTTCACTCATGTGCCTTCTCTATTGACCGGACGAAATTAGATGACTACCCTGTACAACAACATCCAAGCCTTAATCCCAAAAGAATTTGGGGTCAGCTAACATGAATCGATCTATGATATCGATGCCAAAAAGAGAAGACGGACAAGAAAGGGAAGAAAAAAAAGTAAGACAAAATGAATAAAATAAAGATAAATAAATATAAGATATCGATAACACAAGAATATAAGAAAGATAAAAGAAAAAAAAATAAAAGAGCATAAAAAAGCTAGAAGATAAAAATAACATAAGAATATAAAAAGATAAGGAAGATAAACGATAAAAGAAAAAAGAGAAGAAAGGTAGAAAAGACATCAATCATCCACACGGATGTGCGCCCTCCACTTTGCTATCTCCAAGTCATACTCTCATCCAACCCAAGAAGACGCATATCAGTTCTTATTCCTCTAATCCAAGTTTGTTTGGGTCTTCCCTCCCTCTCTGCTCTGCCTCTTTGTCTACGCACATGCCCAAACCACCGAAAACGAGACTCCTGCATCTTATCTTCTATAGGTGCTACTCCCACCTTATGTCTAATTACCTCATTCCTCAAGCGGTCTTTTCTGGTATGTCCACACATCCAACGCAACATACGCATCTTTGCCACACTCATCTTTCGAATGTGGCATTGCTTCACCGCCTAACACTCTACGCCATATGTAGAAAAATGTAGCATATTCATGTTATTTTATTATGTGTACATCCGAAACTGTATAGATAGGAAGTAGAGTTGATTTAGAACTCTAACTCTTAGATTAACACGCAGTATAGATAAGAATAGATAGATCCTAAATATTAGGATCTGTAACAACCTTAGCTTATCTGTAATTTTGTATTTATATCATTGCCGGATGGCTAAATAATACATGGAAGAATAATTCTTCAAACCTACATGGTATCAGAGCCTTGGTTTAAACAATGGTAGAAACCAGTGAAGCTGATTCCTCACACACTACTAACCCTAACTCCCAAATTAGCTCTATGACAAATTACCAGTCTCCTATTCATTCATCTATGATAATCACTAGTCATAGATTGAATGGAACAAACTATCTGGAGTGGTCTCAATCTGTCAGACTTGCAATTGATGGGAGGGGAAAGCTGGGTTACATCACAGGAGAAATCCAACCAAAAATACCTGCAGAAGAAGGGTACAGTACATGGAGGTCAGAGAATTCACTCATAACAGCTTGGCTTCTCAACTCCATGGAGCCCCTAATTGCCAAACCTCATATGTTGATGAAAACTGCAAAGGAGGTATGGGATTCTATTAAGGAAACTTATTCAGACCTTGAGAACTCTTCTCAAATTTTTGAACTCAAAACCAAATTGTGGCAATCTAAACAAGGAAATAGGGATATTATTTCATACTACAATGAAATGGTATCTCTGTGGCAAGAATTAGATCAATGCTATGATGATGAAGAGTGGGAGAGTGCTAAGGATCTGGCCAGACATAAGAAAAAAGAAGAGAATGATAGGGTCTATATGTTTCTAGCAGGGATCAATAGGGACCTAGATGAAGTTAAGGGGAGGATACTTGGAAAAAACCTCTACCTTCTATCAAGGAGGTATTTTCTGAAATCAGGATGGAGGATAGCAGGAAGAAGGTCATGTACAACACCCCAGCACCTAATGAGGAACCTGGGGAATCTTCAGCTTTGGTGGCCAGAAGTGATGACAACAAGAAAAAACCTTGGTGTGATCACTGCAAGAAACTGTGGCACACAAGGGATACATGCTGGAAACTCCATGGAAAACCACCAGGAGCTGGGAAGAAGAAAGTAGAAAGGGCCCTACAAACTACTGTGACTGAGACTCAACAAGAGGCAGGAGTTGAACCTAAACAGCTACCATTCACTCAGGAACAGATAGAGTACCTACTCAGATTCATACCTACCCAGAAAATCTCCAATCCTGAAAACCCTACCTGTTCTTTTGCCCAAAATGGTAAAATAACATCATATTTTTGTTCTGAAAAAACTAAAAACACCTGGGTCACTGACTCAGGTGCAACAGACCACATGACCTATATTCCAAAGTTTTTTTCTTCTTATCAACCTTGTGCAGGAGATAAAAAAGTTAGAGTTGCAGATGGCTCTTTCTCAGCCATAGCAGGGATGGGAAATATTAAAATTTCCTCATCCATTAACCTTTCCAAAGTCTTACATGTTCCTAAACTTTCCTGCAATCTTATCTCTATTAGTAAAATTACTAAAGATCTTCAGTGTTGTGTAAAAAATTTTCCCTCTTAATTGCATTTTTCAGGATCTGGCATCAGGGAAGATGATTGGCAGTGCTAGAGAGGAAGATGGCCTCTATACTTTTGATGAAGGAACACAATTGAATAAACAAGGTCAAGAAACAACTTGTTTGCAAACTGTTTTTCCTTGTAATAATGAAGTGTACCTAATGCACTATAGATTAGGTCACCCAAGTTTTTCCTATTTGAAAATGTTGTTTCCTAAGTTGTTTCTTAATAAAAATCCTTCATCATTTCATTGTGATATGTGTGCACTTGCCAAACATCATAGGAGTTCTTACATCCCTCATAGTTACAAACCAATTAGTCCTTTCACTATTGTACACAGTGATATCTGGGGTGCATCTAGAGTTTCAACTCTGAAAGGAAAAAGGTGGTTTGTAACTATCATAGATGATCATACAAGGGTCACATGGGTGTTTTTACTTAAAGAAAAATCTGAGATTGAAGGGGTGTTCAAACAATTTTACTCAATGATCCAAACTCAATTCAACACTAATATCAAAATTGTGAGAAGTGATAATGGACTTGAGTACTTTTCTAAGAAGTTAAATACTTTTTTTGCTGAAAAAGGGATTGTTCATCAAAGTTCATGTGTAAATACTCCTGCTCAGAATGGAATAGCTGAGAGGAAAAATAGACATTTACTTGAAGTTACTCGTGCAATAATGTTTTCTGCCAAAATTCCAAAATATTTATGGGGAGAAGCTGTTTTACATGCTACCTATCTAATTAATAGGATGCCATCAAAAACTCTAGGATTCAAAACTCCTATTGATACTCTTCAAGCTTGTTTTCCTGAAACTAGACTAATTAATTATCTTCCCATAAAAAATTTTGGGTGCACAGTTTTTATTACCAATCCTGACAGAACTGCAAGTAAATTTGACCCTAAAGGAAAAAAATGTGTTTTCTTAGGACTCTCTTCAACTAAGAAAGGCTATAAATGTTTTGACCCTATAACAAAAAGATGTTTATAACTATGAACACTGTTTTTGTAGAAGATCAACCTTTTTTTGGTACTCATCTTCAGGGGGAGATTCCTAATGAAGATGGTAATAATGTATCACATATCCTTGAAAAACTAGAACCTCTTGACATTAATCTAGATGCACAGTATAATAGACAGTTAGATGCACTAGAAAATAGCCAAGAGTCAAAAGAAAATGAATTTTTTTTTTCTGAAACAAGGAAAGATGATGAACAACAGACAAGTAAGTTTTTTGGCAAGGTTTATGAAAGGAGAGTTCCAAATCACAAAATAGAGGACATCCCTGATCCTGCCACTGTCAATGAATCTGACTCAATGCCAGAAAATGACAAAGGTAATAATTTCAGTGATCTAAATCTACCCATTGCTCTCAGAAAAGAAAAAAGGTCATGTGTTAAATACCGTATCTCAAACTATCTGTCCTATTCTCAGTTATCTACATCATTTGCAGCTTTTACCTCTAGCCTTTCCATTGTCTCTATTCCCTTAACCATACAGGAAGCCCTATCTATACCTGAGTGGAAGAAGGCTGTTTTAGAAGAAATGAATGCCCTTGAAAAGAATCAGACATGGCAGACTGTAGAGGTACCCAAAAATAAACCAAGGGTTGGATGCAAATGGGTGTTTACTCCTAAATTCAAGGCAGATGGTACACTTGAAAGATATAAGGCCAGACTGGTTGCCAAAGGATACACACAAACCTATGGCATAGATTATACAGAAACTTTTGCACCAGTTGCAAAATTAAATACTATAAGGATTCTACTATCTCTAGCTTCTAACCTAGACTGGCCTCTTCAACAGTTAGATGTGAAGAATGCTTTCCTAAATGGGAAGCTTGAAGAGGAAGTATACATGAGTCCTCCTCCTGGGTTTGAGGAACAATATGGCTCAAAGGTGTGCAAGCTAGAGAAAGCCTTATATGGGCTTAAACAGTCCCCAAGGGCTTGGTTTGAAAGGTTTACTCAGTTCATAAAGAAGCAGGGATTCAAACAAGCCCAAGCAGATCATACACTATTCATGAAATTCTCCATTAAGGGAGAAATTGCAGTACTAATTGTTTATGTGGATGATATAATTCTTACAGGAAACTATTGTGAAGAGATTGAAGACCTGAAGAAGAAGCTTGCTCAGGAATTTGAAATCAAAGACCTGGGAGAATTGAAGTATTTTCTTGGCATGGAGATAGCCAGATCAAAGAAGGGAATTGTGGTATCCCAAAGGAAGTATGTACTAGACCTACTTCATGAAACAGGTATGAGTGCATGCAGACCAATAGATACTCCAATTGACCCTAATCAGAAGTTAGGAAATGTCAAGGAAGGAGTACCAGTTAATATTCACCAATATCAAAGATTGGTGGGAAGGTTGATTTATCTGGCACATACAAGGCCAGATATTGCCTTTGCAGTCAGTATGGTTAGTCAGTTCATGCATAATCCATTCCAAGAACATCTAGATGCTACCTACAGGATCCTAAGATATTTGAAAAGCTGTCCAAGGAAAGGATTATTTTTTAAAAGAAGTGACAATAGAAGTGTAGAAGCCTTTACAGATGCAGATTATGTTGGGTCAATAACTGATAGAAGGTCTACATCTGGATATTGTACTTATGTATGGGGGAATCTAGTGACTTGGAGGAGTAAGAAGCAGAATGTTGTTGCCAGAAGTAGTGCAGAATCTGAATTTAGATCTATGGCTAATGGAACCTGTGAGCTACTTTGGATCAAGAGAATGATGACAGAATTGAATATGGAAATGGACCTACCTATGAAATTATATTGTGACAATAAAGCAGCCATTAATATTGCTCACAATCCTGTGCTACATGATCGTACTAAACACATTGAGGTGGACAGGCATTTTATCAAAGAGAAGATTGAAGCTGGAATTGTATGCACACCATTCATATCTACTAAAGAGCAGACAGCTGATATCTTTACAAAGGGGCTGTTTAAACCAGTGTTTGAGTTTCTTATAAGCAAGTTGGGAATGTATGATATATACTTACCAACTTGAGGGGGAGTGTAGAAAAATGTAGCATATTCATGTTATTTTATTATGTGTACATCCGAAACTGTATAGATAGGAAGTAGAGTTGATTTAGAACTCTAACTCTTAGATTAACACGCAGTATAGATAAGAATAGATAGATCCTAAATATTAGGATCTGTAACAACCTTAGCTTATCTGTAATTTTGTATTTATATCATTGCCGGATGGCTAAATAATACATGGAAGAATAATTCTTCAAACCTACACCATACATTAATGCCGACCTAATTGTTGTACGATAAGATTTACCTTTCAGTCTAGTCAGCATACCTCGTCTTGCTTCGGCTCAGTCTGAAACTCTCGGTCTCCAATGTTTGTCGCCATACTTCCAACTTTGCTTTAACACCGGATTGTGTCTCATCAATCAATACAATATCATCGGCAAACATCATGCACCACGGTATATCTTCTTGAATTGACTTTGTAAGTTCATACATGACTACAGCAAATAAGAAAGGACTCAGAGCAGATCCTTGGTGCACTCTGATAGTAATAGGGAAATTTGCGGTCCTCTCTACACTAGTGCGGACACTTGTAGTACAAGCATCATACATATCCATGATGATATTGATATACTTATGTGATATGCCTTTTCTAGTTAAGGCCCACCAAAGAACTTCTCGAGGTACCCTATCATATGCCTTTTCTAAGTCAATGAACACCAAATGCAGATTCTTTTTAGTGTCTCTATACTTCTCCACAGCTTGTCTAAGAAGGTGAATGGCCTCAGTTGTTGAGCGTCCAGGCATAAAACCAACATGATTCTCCAAAACTTTCACACTTTTACGAAGTTTTTGCTCAACCACTCGCTCCCAAAGTTTCATGGTGTGACTCATAATCCCTCGATAATTAGCACATTCTTGTACATCACCCTTATTTTTAAATAAGGGAATTAGAGTACTCTTCCGCCAACTCACTGCATTTTGTTGTTTCTTCGAATCAAGTTGAAGAAACGTGTTAGCTCTCGATGCCTCTCTCCCAAACTTCTCCAAGCCTCAATCGGTATGCCATTTAGGCTCACTGCTTTCTTCCGCCCCATTTTTCTCATAGCCTCTTTAACTTCTGTTATTTTAATCCTTCTCACGAAGTCCCCATTTACCATACACTCTGGTATAGTAAGATCACCAATACCTTGCACTTTATTCCCGTTGAACAAGGTATCAAAGTATGACCTCCACCTCTCTTTTATTTCTTCGTCGTCCATTAGTACCCTTTGACTACCCTGTCATAAAAAAAAGATAACTACCTAGTAAAATTTATCTTTCAATCTTAATGGAATGCTCTTGTCAGATAGCAATCATGACTCTTGATACATTCTGCGAGTCCATGACATATCCTCGATCTCTCCCTTAGCACCAAAACACTTGATATTTGAAAATATCCTTTTGAAGAGCTCATTGGTCCTTAATGTGAACTAGGGATACATTTCTCATTAGGCTTCCCGCTGAATTTGCTCTATAGGCACTTCATCTTTGTCTCTTTGAGAGCTAATGTGCAACCTTTGTACTTCAAATCCACTACTTAGCTCCGCGCCTACGCTTTCACCCTTCTCTCGTATCAACCACCAGTACAATGTCAACAGCTAAAGAAATACACCACAGGATGCTCTCCTGGATCTCCTTAAAAATCACATCCAAAACCAGAACAAAGCGGAATTGGCTTAGAGTTGATCTCGCAACACCCTTGTAACCTCCAGACTACTCCAAATTATTTGATGTGGTACACTGCCATAAGCCTTCTTCAAGTCTATCAATACAAGGTGAAAATTCTTGCTAAGCTCCCTATATTTCTTTAAGGTGTCTAAAAAGGTGGGGTGTCTTTGACTGTGGACCTTCCGGGCATTAAACCGATTATGTTTAATTAGTCAAGTAAATATTGTTTTATAAAACTTTTAATGTCATTATTAAAGTTTAAGTAAGTTGTGATTATACTAGGAGGAGTGCCTGGTCAAGGAGACCTCAAGACCATCTTTCTTTCTTTCTTATCAAGGATTTCTTATTTATAACTATAAAAAAGAAATACATGACCGCTTATTTTTGTTATTGAATAAGATACATGAGAAAAATTGTTAAACCAAACAATACCATTGTTCAAAATGTTCATTATAAAAAATTTGAACACCCAAAATCTAGATCACCTCAGTATACATGTGGGTATAGATATATATGTACTGATGTACATAGAGTCATTTACATACAGATATATAGATATGTATATACACACATACACAAACATACAAATATGAAAATACATGCTTTTTTAGATGTAGACACATATGCATACATATACACACACATATACATATATATATAGAGAGAGAGAATTTCCAGCTCATACAAATATAAAATAGGTAAGAAATTAGAATGAGAAATTTTGTAAAAAACATGTAAAACACTACTAAAAATACAATTCAAATAAAAAACAGCAATATCACACGTGGGAAGGTTTTTACCTTACGGAAGGGCTCGGGGCCCATCTGCTTTTCCAACATCTGCAGAACTGCAACCTATTTGAAAACAAATATGAAGTCCAGATTGAATATTCTAAAGAATATAAGCATGACAAGCTTAAACCACGCCAATAATAAACTTACAGACTTCCAGGCTCTAATTTTTCCATAAAACCCAATACAATGTGTCCCATATAGGTCCTTGGAAGAAGCAGAGGAGCATAAGGCAGTAGCACCACTGTCGTCTGCTCGGCAAACAGCACAGTTAGCCTGTAATTAAAAAGGAAATAGAAAAAACACTCAATATGATTGAGCGCAAAAATACTACAAAAGTTAAGCTTAGGAACCAAGGGTTCACTTGGAATGTCTTGTCATCTGTAATAAAAAAACTTTGCTAATGTTTTCGGATTCCTAATGTATGTTTTACCTTTTGCAGGTTTGTTATGCATACATACTTTTTACTGTTTATTGTTTCATAAAATGATTTGACTTTAATAGAACAATCAAATATTTCCATCATTTGCAATGGAGCCAAAGATTCACTGTTTTTTGGCTTGGGAATATGATAGAATAAAACAAAATGACTCACTAAACTGTCGGTGCTTCTTTGTTATGAAGTAGAAGTCGGTCCATGCAATTTTCGACATGATTTTCACCACGTGTCATCCGGAAACAGTCTCTCTGCTTTGATACAAAGGTAAGACTGCATACATCCGACCCCCTTACCCCACCATAGGTGGGAGCCTTTGCGGCACTGGGGTAATGATGATGAATGATGATGATGAGAAAAATTAAATATTTCACAAATAGTATCGATACACGAAACATATTCCTAAAAATAATGAAAACATCAATTCACGTTTCAACCATCTTTTAAGTTTTGTTTTGTTCTCAAAAGATGAAAATTAAAACTTTACGGTTAAAACACAATCTCATCAAACTATGCCTGAATAAACCAGTTGAATGAAAACAGATGATAGATGACTATACCAGAGAAGTGCGCATAAAGGACAGCCTTAGAAGCTACATGGGAAAGACAATCAGTATGCAGTATGGAAACTAGAAACTAGGGTTCGTGTTATTCAAAAAATAAACAGATACATATCAAGTACGTACATTATCAAACTAATGCCAAGTTCGTGCAGCTTTCAAAAATGTTCAAGATAATTATTCTAAAAATGAGATAAGCTTCATTCAGCTGAATCGCTATTCTAAAACTTTGAAGCTAACCAATTCCAAATGCACAAATTAACTATTACTCTCTCTATCCCTTATAACTTTTCTGAAGTTGACTAGCACATAGAATAATACAGTAAAAGTTGTGTGGTTGAGGTTAGTGCAAAGGAGAGAGAATTAACAAGAACCATAAATTCTTTATTTAAAGGAGAAAGTGGCAAAGTTAGTGGGACCGAAAAAAGGAAGTTGGAAAAGTTGAGTGAGTATTTGGCATCATAGGTAATGTTATACACTCAATAAGAGCAAGATTTGATGCAACAGGACCTTGTACCGCCGATACCGTGCTTCATTACTTCCCAGGAATTTTTTAATAAATGTATCAGTTAAAAATCCAGCTAGACCATCTAACAACCAATCTGAGAACAAAAATTTGGATTGCAGACAGTCAGACAGAGTTAAGAGTTGCATCACCACATCTAAAACAAAGTAATGAAAATATCCAACAATATACCATCATTTGGAGTTTCAGGGGTAATATAGACTCCAAACCATTGTCTTGCAAGAGCATAAGCAAGTTTAATCCTTGTCTCTATAGTCTGTTCAATAAATCTGAGCCCATCAAGAATGCCATAACATAGGAAAATGACAAAAGAATATAGAGAAAAAAGGAAATGAAAATTTGTGGTTTCCATTTATCACCAATAAATTTACAATCACCCTTAATTAGGAATACACCCAGCTATATAGTTAAAAATGGAGGTTATACACTTATGCATGTGTGCTGGTAACACTACTTGTATCTTATTTTACAGCAACGTGAAATCTAATTTAATCTAGGTCATTTTCAACTATTTATCAATATTTCCTTCAAGCAAGGAGCATGTATATCATAAGCTCCATACTTGTTAAACATGTATTCAACACAACTATCGGTTTCTGTGAAAGTTTGAGTACACAAAAGATTGAACTTCTTTGGATGACCTTTTTCTGTTGTCTTAACGTGTGTTGTCTTTTCATGAAAATATGGGATTGATGCTACATATAGAGGTGATTGATTATCACAAATAAGCTTTGTAGGTCCCACTTTCCCATAATTTGATTCAGTACGAACTAAGAAGACATTGCAGTCGGACTAGGTTGACATGTCCAGAGAATCATTGATCCTGCTTGCATTGGTGCTGGATCAATGACACCACTTCCTACTTTTTCCCAAGACTATGTTTACACAAAAATAAACAATACTCCAATGTTGACATCTTGTCCCATATGTGTAGCAACCACCTTTGTTCCCATGATCCCTGTATAGCAACCAAGCGGGAAGCCGGGAAATTTCCCAATGTGCTACAAAATTCTGCCAACAGCATCCCTATAACACTTAAAGGGCTAATATATCACTTATAAAAGTGCTGCATAGATATGAGGTGTTTGGGTAGTAAAAATTATATATAACAGTTTTCCCACTTATCATTAATACCTCCATAGATCTGGGTCCTCCATCTTCTGAAAGCTTGATATTGGGATCCACAGGAATGTCAGTTGATTTGCTATGCAACATCCAAGTTTCTTTCAAAATATCCAGAGCATATTTATGTTGTCATATGCAGGTTCTTTACTTTGGTAGTGTGACTTTCATCTCACAAGAAATAATTCAGCTTGACAAGATAATTAAGCATATTTTTAGCTAAGTATTCATTCAGAGATAAACACTCTAAACATGCATTAAAACATTGCTTCAAATTCCACCAAATTCCAATCTGCCATTGTAAATCTTCAAAACCAAAGGATAGGAGATTGCTTAAGCGCTACCCATAGTGTTCAACTTTACACTCCAAGTCAACTCCACCCTAGCTCCAGAAGCAACAAATCTGGGAATCTGAGTGGTTGCCGATTTTAGGCCTATAGTTCGAGTCAACTTGTAAGAAGGCATTGATGATGCAAAATCAATATGTATAGAAACCATACATAGAAAGTTCAAATTGGTTCAAATTTGGCTACATGTTCAAATTGAAACATGTCATTGTAAATCTTCAAAACCGAAGGACATGAGATTGCTTAAGCGCTACGCGTAGTGTTCAACTCTGCACTCCAAGTCAACTCCACCCTAGCTCCAAAAGCAACAAATCTGGGAATCTGAGTGGTTGCTGATAGTAGGCCTATAGTTCGAGTCAACTTGTAAGAAGGCATTGATGGTGCAAAGTCAATATGTATAGAAACCATACACAGAAAGTTCAAATTGGTTAAAATTTGGCCACATGTTCAAATTGCCACATGTCATTGTAAATCTTCAAAACCAAAGGACAGGAGATTGCTTAAGCGCTACCCATAGTGTTCAACTTTACACTCCAAGTCAACTCCACCCTAGCTCCAAAAGCAACAAATCTGGGAATCTGAGTGGTTTCCGATTATAGGCCTATAGTTCGAGTCAACTTGTAAGAAGGCATTGATGATGCAAAGTAAATATGTATAGAATTCATACATAGAAAGTTCAAATTGGTTCGAATTTGGCCACATGTTCAAATTGACACATGTCAGTGTCAATCCCATAAAAGCCATGTGTCCCCTCACAGCAAATAGGGCTATAAGTCTATCCATCTTGTCCAACTTTGACAATATTGATTTATCGACAATCCACTTTTTATTAAGCCTTTCTCATGCTCTGCTCTTCTGGTCTTTCAAGTTCTAATTCCTGAAATCTCAAAATGTTCACGAAGCCAATTTGCGAACTCAAGTCTAGAGTCCCAGCTCTCCATACAACAACAACAACAACAACCACGTCTTAATCCCAAAAGAATTTGGGGTTGGCTAACATGAATCGATCTATGATATCGGTGCCAAACAGAGAAGACGGACAAGAAAGGGAAGAAAAAAAGTAAGTAAAAATGAATAAAATAAAAATAAATAAATACCTCCTCCTTTCTTTTTTAAATGCAACGGTACACTATTCACGTTTGCCAACGCACAAGTTTAACCATTAATATCTTCCATACCTTATTAGTAAATAAATTAAAAATGTATATTTTGAAACTTTAAAATGAGATGAATTTAAAAATATATTTTTTAAATTTAATTTGTAATAAATAAAATAATAAAATAGAGTTAAAGTAGAACATGTGAATAGTGAAAAAAGTCCAATGTTGCATTTAAAAAAGAACAGAGGAAGTATAAGATAACAATAACACAAGAATATAAGAAAGATAAAAGAAAAAAATACAAGAGCATAAAAAAGCTAGAAGATAAAAATAAATAAGAATATAAAAAGATAAGGAAGATAACGATTAAAGAAAAAATAGAGGAAAGGTAGAAAAGACATCAATCGTCCACACAGATGTGCGCCCTCCACTTTGCTCTCTCCAAAGGCATACTCTCATCCAACCCAAGAAGACGCATATCAGTTCTGTTTCTTCTAATCCAAGTCTGTTTGGGTCTTCCCCTCCCTCACTTCTCTACCTATTCTCCCCACCCCTCAAGTCATCTAACAGGTGCATCACTCGATCTTCTACGCACATGCCCAAACCACTGCAAACAGACTCCTGCATCTTATCTTTTATAGGTGTTACTCCCACCTTTTGTCTGATTATCTCATTCCTCTAGCAGTCTTTTCTGGTATGTCCACACATCTAACGCAACATATGCATCTCTGCCACACTCAACTTTTGAATGTGGCATTACTTCACCGCCCAACACTCTATGTCATACATTAATGCAGGCCTAATTGTTGTTCAATAAAATTTACCATTCAATCTAGTCAACATACCTCGATCGCATAGAAATCCTGAAGCACTCTTCCATTTCATCCACTCAGCTCTGATTCTATGGCATACATCTCCATCTAATTCAACATCCTTCTGAATTATGGAGCCTAAGTAACGGACCATATCACACACCGGTATCTCCTTACCATCAAGAGTAATCCCACTTTTGCTACTACTTCTATCTTCACCAAACTTGCCCTCCATATACTCGATCTTGCTTCAGCTCAGTCCGAAACCCTTGGTCTCCAATGTTTGTCGCCATACTTCTAATTTGCTTTAACACCGGATTGTGTCTCATTAATCAATACAATATCGTCGGCAAGCATCATGCACCACAGTATATCTTCTTGAATTGACTTCGTATGTTCATCCATTACTATAGCAAATAAGAAAGGACTCAGAGCAGATCCTTGGTGCACTTCAATAGTAATAGGGAACTCTGTGGTACTCCCTACACTAGTGCGGACACTTGTAGTACAGGCATCATACATATCTATGATGATACTGATATACTTACGTGATATGCCTTTTCTAGTTAAGGCCCGCCAAAGGACTTCTCGAGGTACCCTATCATATGCCTTTTATTAGTCAATGAACACCAAATGCAAATCCTTTTTAGTTTCTCTATACTTTTCCACAACTTGTCTAAGAAGGTGAATAGCCTCAGTTATTGAGCGTCCAGACATAAAACCAAATTGACAATTCGAAATTTTCACACTTTTATGAAGTCTTTGCTCAACCACTCGCTCCCAAAGTCCCGGCTCTCCATGTGACACTTAAATTGTTTAAAGTTAGTCTGTGTATTTTTACTTTTAGTTTGTTTAGTTTTACATTTTATAGTTTCAAATTTTACGTTTATAATTGGTTCATTTTTCAATCTAGACCGCCTGCATTTTTAATACTTTCTGTCCTCGTAGGTTGAATCAGTACTGATTGCCTATGTTTTTAAACTAAATTGATGTCTCATATTTTCATGCACTCTGTAGCTTAATTTGGCAATGATCTATCTAAATATTATCATTATTATTTTTACATTCATGTTTCTTTGACATGGCTGAATCTTGTACTTTAAAAAATTAATTTTACACATCCCCGTCCCCGTATATGTTCCCACCTCTGTGACTATGTCCTAGAACAGCCTGGGAAGTTAGAGACCCTAAAATGAGTTTGGTGCTTTTGTTTCGGTATCACTAGTGAACAAGAAGAATGGTGTAGATTGGAAGAAAAGATTGCATTTCGGAAAATATAAAACCAGAATCATTCAAATAAATATAATATACTCCCTCCGTCCCATTAGACTTTGTCAACTTTCCTTATTTGGTTGTCCCAGAAAACTTTGTCACTTTCCTATTAAAGCAACTAATTTGTGATTCTGCACATTTCTCTCTCCTCTGCACAAATCTCACAACCACACAGTTTTTACTATTCTTATTTCTCACCTACTTTGCACTTGGCAAAGTCCATCGAGACGGAAGTAGTATATCTTTTTTGCAGCTGAGAATATCCCAAAAACCACATTCAAGGTTTCTTCAAAAGCTTGTCACAGGTTGGTGCAATATTGCATAGAAAACATGTGCGATCAAAAAAATCTTAAGGGGCATATTATGTAGAGGTTCATGTGGAAACAATATTCCAAATGGTACTTAGTTGCATTCGGTTTATGGGTTAATGCAAAATTTGAGTTTCCCGGAAACAAAGAGAATGTTGTAATACAGTAATGGAATAATGGATAAGTATACTTCAAGCTGTTTCCACTAGATGTCGTTTTTTCAAGCCATAAACTTAGGTTTGTTGTGGAGTAATAATACAAGAAGACTCATAGAGGTATGATATCTGAAAGATGAAAAATAGATAACACTATAACAGGCCTTCAAAATATTACCCACCATCATAACATTTCAAAGTTTTTGGATATTTGTTAAATAATTCAAAATATTGTCATACACTGGGATTAGGCACAATGAGGAGCCTCATAATGAAGGTAAAATATATTTGAAACCCAATATTAGCAAATATAAACCAAAGAGTGTAATTTAAGAAGTTCTGGATGGAATAGTGTTTTGCACGATTCTTGAAACAATTTAGAATGGAGAAGAGCTACAGATAGCTCAGATACCATGTTGAACGAAGTGAAAATGTATTATGTCTGTTCATCACAAATGAGTTTACAAACTCTTATGATTCAATCTGAACTGCTAACCTTGTTTACAATCACCACTAGATAGGCATATATGTCAAGCTAGAATGCTAGATATGTGTATATGGTGGTTGTGCATGTTATTGCGTTTTGTGAATGACATCATGGAGTGCTAATTCGAACTATGTTTCCCATATTATCCTATTATGCAACTATTTGAGGTTTAGCTTGGGTTATTTTCAATTATTTCACAACCGACGCAAGTCAGGGACCTTCTCATTTACATACCTGATCAATGACCTTCTCATCAAAGAGAAATTGAGAAGTGAAGATGCTCATTGAAGCTCCAAAACTAAATGATGATATTGCCATATCGGGAGAGATAAACAATTGTGTATACGACCCAAAAGGAAATGGTGCACCAAGGTAATCCTCATAATGGCTGTTGCAATGTAGTTTGACACAGGTTCTTAGAAATGTATGTGAACTGGCTGTAATTAAATGCAGGGAAAGTAAAAAAAATGAAATGAAATTGTATAGTAAATCTGCAATAAAAAAGGAAAATACTACCTGAAAGCATTATGAGAAAACTCTACAGTATTCCGCATTTTTGACATGTTAGGAGGTAAACAAATATGAGATAGTTGAGCAATGTGGCGATCAGGAACAATTTCGAAAGGTGCAACAACTAAGGATATCCATCCGGCAGTTACAGGAACATCTAATTTATATACATACGTCTTACGTGAAGGATCATCTTTGCTCAAGACCTGTGAAGATATGTTACATCAGTTACCATCAACAGCAACAAAAGTAACAAGGTAAAAAATAAAGAACTTTTAGAATCGATGGTACATTTTTAAACCAGAAAACACTATCTCTTTTGTTGTTGTTTTTTTCAAAAACCATGGGATTGGTATCAACGATACATCTAAGCCAGACCTCTTCTTTTAAAAGCCAACAAAATCTTTTTGACGTAGTGATGGTAATGAGGTTATTGTGGCTATCATTTTCCATTCTTACAATCTTTTATAGAAATAAGGGATGGTTGTACATGGCAAAAAGACTAAACTACCCTCAATTGTGTGTCACAAGGACAAATATGCATTGTTTCCATCCCTTCTAACTGAAAACTATCAATTAGACCAACTTAGTGAGTTTTATAGCTTTGAGCAGCATTTGGTAAAACTGAAAATCAGCAACTAAGTCTAAAATGTAACTATAGTCAAAATTCAAAACATCACAAGGAAATTAAGCAAAGTCTATAATGCAGTTAAAACTCCCTCTATCCCAAAAGATATGGGACATTTGCTTTTAGTATGGTTTTAAATGAAAAGAAGTAAAATGGGTTTTACTTTACCCAAATCATCCTTCTAGTGAGACCAATTGTATCAGGTATAGAAGGGTGAATGGGGAAGAGTACAAATTGGTGGTATAGTAATTAGATTTTGGGACAAATAAAAAAGAATATGGTACCTCGTAAGTAGGACAGATAAAGTGGGACCCAGAGGGTGTTTTTTGTTCGTGGAAGTCAACAAATGAATTTTTGTTCGTGGAAGTCAACAAAGTGCTAGTACATTGGTTGCTAACATGAAGTGTGAATAAAACTTCTTTGACGTATTTGGATGCCCCAGCTCTAATTGAAACTCAATAAAAGGAACAATTTAGCTTCCAAATTTTCAAATATAGATGAGATAATCCAGTATAACTACGGATCCAGATGCTGATGAAAAGATTGTTTAAAAACAGTCAAATCAAACTTATGCCGTCCTAAACCTTAATGCTACAAAAAGATGAAATTGAGGATAACAAATAATTGCATTGCAATTGGAAGAAACTGTGCTTACATGGACTACCAAATCATGACTTTTAACTCAGTGAACTCGCCTACAAGAATACAAATAGAGAATTTCTTTAGCTCACCTGATAAAGTAAAGTTCCAGAGCTAACTGCAACGAGATTACTAGCTACTGTGAACTCCAAATCATAGCTGAGAAAGAAATAGAACATTTGGGATGAAAATAAGAAAACTGTATTAGCAGAATTCATGTCACTGAAATCCTTAAGATTAATATGTACCAGCAACGCTGCAAATTGTCATCCATGCAAGGGAACCAACAGCGTGCACGCCTTATTTGGTTATCAGTATGTAAAACATCATCATCAAAGTGGATTCCTGTTTCTGCCTTCTCCACCCAATAGTCAATGCACAGTCTTTTAACATTCTGCATTCAACATATCCTACATGAGAAGTTGGAGAAGAGAAACCCTAATTATGGAAAGAATCCTACACTTTTTCTGCATAAACAGCATGCTCAAATGTGACCTCACAATAAAACAACACATAATGAAGAGCTAATTAAAATGGGTTCAATCAGGACCCTGGAGATATCTGAAAAGATTTCTTTGGAAAAGTTTATACAACCAAATCATATATTCACATTAGGGGATTGAATTTCTTTTGCAACACCATTAGGAGATAATTAAGAAGTGCTGAATATAAAAGAAAATCCCAATCAGATTTTAAAGGAGCTGTTGCAACGAAGGGTTATAGTCAAAATCTAGGATAACATCAATAATCTAAGGCTCATTTGTTGCATAAGATGCAGATCCATGTGGAGGTGTGATGTGTGAACAACCCACATACATATCCGCACAACAAGGTCAAATGTAAGTCTTCTTCCAAAGCATGAAGGTCCGGACATGACTACATTATCATCATCCAAGCAACAAGCCTCAAAAACATCTAAAACTGATACAGCACATAAATGTTGCACGCAAATCAGCATAATTAATGAAAGGAACAATTATAAACCTGTTTTTCTTCAGCTAAAGATTTAACCCCGCCATCAAGAGTCACTGTCTCTTCTTGCTCTTCTTCAACTGTAGGTTTAACCCCATTCCCAGAAGGCTTTTCTAGCTGTTCACTCTCAGGCTTGGTAGTAGTACACATAATGAGCAAATTTGGGACCAACTCTCTATCAAGAGTAGATAAGTAAACCGACCCTGCTGCATCAGCAGCAGAACTAGCAGATGACACAGAGCACCATCTATCCCCACTATTCAAATCCAAATAATGTGGAAACACTTCAAACTGTGCAGGCTCTTCGTCTACTGTCACAGATTCAATGACCAAGTTATCCGCGTGCAATTCCACAATCCCATTGTCCGGAACAGATACTTCAATCTCAGTGAAGCTGATAAGAGAAAAGACAAAAGAGATTACCTGACTAGACAACTAACTACTAAACGGGAATAACAAGCATATCAATTCAAATTGCTACAGTTTTCTAAATATTCCATTTCAAAAACCTAATATGCACGGCCTAGCAATATAGTCCAGCAACCACCCGTATTCCTAATTTGATTCAAACAGAAACGAAAACCCATTGTGAAGTAATCTAGCCGCAAACGAAAATAAATTCATCAGCTGTCTTAGATAAATCTATGCACAACATGTATCCAATATTCTATTACAGTGTTAATTCAAGAAATGAAACTAGTATAACAGACCCGTAAATTCGTCTCTTTTCCATGTCAATGGAGACGCAGAGCTTCTGGTGGCGAATGACGGCTTCGGAAATCTCACCATTTTGCTCTTCACTCTTTCCCTTTCGAGGCTTCGCCATTCTTATGTTAACATATACGCAGTCATCCACTTCGAATCTGACAGAAATATGTAAATGATGCAGGCGCCTTGGTATGCGTAGAGAGATAACGAAGCAAAGAGGGGTCAAATCTCATGGGGAAGGATTTATAGTAACGAAGAAGGTTGTGAAAATGTGACTAGAATTCAAGGATGTTTAGTTGGTTTTTTTAATTTGATTTTTCTTTCAAAAAAAAATTGATTTAAATTTTCTTATAAAATCTAGTTTGATCTGTTTATATATATATATATAGAGAGAGAGAGAGGGAGGTTCAAATACAAAGTACTACTTATATGAAAAATGAGAAGTAATCTTAGCCGTTAAAATGAGAAAACGAGTGGATCAGATCAATTTTTAAGGGAAAATTTCGGTGCCAAAAGTGTAATTATTAAAAACTTTTTTGAAAACTAACGTGACAAATGTGCATCACTACGGAGGAAAAGTGCATTAGACTAACAATAAAGTGCATTACTTTTCGGGAAAAACATAACAAGTATAAAGATCGTTCCTGATGGTTTTTTAGAAGGTGAATGTGCAACATTACATATTGCATATGCACTTTTGCTATTATGTATTACACATTTTTGTTGATCGGGAGTTTTTGATCTATACCATCCATTTTTAAGTAATCAAGGGCTTAGATTAGTTCTCACTTTTCATGGGAAGACCTCTTTGTATTAGAACTCAGCCATATATATATATATATATATATATATATATATATATATATATATATATATATATATATATATATATATATATATATATATATATATTGGAAAATTCTCAGGTCCAACACCTTCCGGTTCGAACGCCGTCCGAACACTGCCGTTTGGGCCGGTTCCAGGTGGAATTTTTTGATGAAATTTTTTGAGCACGTTCCTCATCAAGTCTAGTTTATACATACCAAATTTCAGGTCAAAATTCGACCTGGAAGGCAGTCAAATAATTCGTTGAAGTTAACTGCGTTTTTCTATGTATAATTTGGCGCAGTTAACTTCAACGAATTATTTGACTGCCTTCCTGATCGAATTTTGAGCTGAAGTTTGGTATGGATAAACTAGACTTGATTAGGAACATGCTCAAAAATTTTCATCAAAATATTTCGCCGGGAACCGCGCCCAAACGCCGGTGTTCGGACGACGTTCGGACAGAAAAGTGCTGGACAGAAAAGTTATGCCGATTGAGACTTATGATGTTAATATTAGAGATGAGTTGAGGAGACGTTATTTGAGAAAAGGTCTTTGCCAACCGCGTGACTTTAAATTTCCACAAAGTGATTTTAATGGGTGCAACAGATCATTCCAAAAACAGTGATTTTATTTAAATTTTATAGTTTTGTTTATTGCTATACTCGTGATGCATATGATTTTTTTCTAGACTAGTATATCATTTCTTTGTTATTATGCCCCTGCGAGTCACGGGTCCTGGTTCCGCCACTGATTGGCTTTATCAAATTTTTGAAGTGTTTTAGTGAGAATTAGATGATGGATGTAGAGCATATTACTTCAATGTTATGATTAGAGGATTATTATGAAATTGAATATTGATCATGTTTTTTCTCAAAAATATCATAATCGTACATGCCTAACAGATACTACGTAATATCAGCAGCTTGATAGCGCAAGGCGCAAAAGCTTTTGTCCAACGTAGTTTTTTTTTTTTTGAAGATTGAGTGGTCTATGACGCAGTGTGTATTAGGATGAAGTGGAAAGATAAACTTTTATGAAGTTTAGTTTAATTGCTATATAAATATTACTCTATATAAATTCGAAAGATAATTAATTGATATGTAGTGTTTTTTAATATTCGACAAAGTCTATATAATATTATAATGCTAACCTACCTTATTTGTTTAAACGAAATTCCTGTTAAGGGGTGAACTTGTGACACCGCACTCGAACGTTCTAGAAATTTAAATTTAATTTCAAAGCTTATGTATTGAATTTCCCTATTTTCGAACGATTGTAAGACGATTAAAGTTTTACGGAACGTATGATTTATCATATTATCATTTGGGATCATATTATGATAATGGACTCCTGAATAATTAATTGGGCCATATTATTGATATTGGGGCCCAACATCCTTAAATAAAGATATACAACCCCTCGGTACAATGTAAGTGCGGTCGGACAGTCCAAATGTTATTTTCGGCCCAACCTGCTAAAAATAGTAAATTGTCTAGAATGGCGTCCTAGACCCATTGGAGGGTGACCCACAGAGTTGGTAGCCCATATTGTTATTAATATATATATATATATATATATCATAATTGAATGATGGAATGATTGGAGAAGAATATAAATGTCTATGGTCTCATCTTTAGCATTATTAGGTTAAATAATGGGAGTAGAGTTTTCTTTTGTAATTATACATCAAATAAATTATTGGGACCACCCTACACATATTATAGACCAATAATATGACGTAGAAGGTTGACTTGATCTAAATAAATTTGGGAGAGTACAAAAGTACATCTTATGACAAAAGACAAAAATGATAGGACCCATCTTTCCACTTTTGGATGTATTGGTAGATATTTTACTCTCAAATTAATTAAGGGACATGAGAGTACGCCCCTCACATTCCTAGAACCTTCAAAACAAGTAGAATAAGTTAGAACTCATAAATGGGGCGGACCTATTGAGTTGAGAGTTCAAACAATACAAAAGAGAAATAAAAGAGGAGGATCATCCCATTTTTGATTGGGATCAAATACTCTACCCTTCTTTTTTTTAGAGCCACTCGTTCAGATCACATTTGAGAGCTTCTAAGCACCTCTCCCTCACCCCCATTCGAACTAAAAGAGATAAGGAAGAGAGGGGAGCTGCACAACCCAAGAAGAGAGGAAATTGGAGAGCTGGCCGCAGGAGTTTTCCAGGTGCGTAGGCCTTCTTGTTCGACTCATATCTTGCGTTTCACTCATCCAATTAAAGCGTGTGCACTGAAATCTCTCGAAAAGAGGAATCCATAGGCGTGCGGTTTGAAGGAAACGGAGCAGTTTGAGGCCTCCAAATCGTCTGAATACAACGAAACCTCGCAGAATACGCTTTTGGTATTCAAAGTAAGTTTGAATCCAAAAGCTTCCTTTCTATTGCCTAAATCCTATGAATGATTGAAGAAATATCATACACCGGTTTAAGTGTATAAATTTTTATTGTAGAGTAACTTTTATTGTTGGAAAGGTTAGATACTAACCTAGACAAAACCTTGAAAGGTTATGGAACGAATTCGCCGGAAAACACCCGTTCTAGGGACTGTTTTCGTGTCGACGTTTAGGGGTTGAGCTAGCACTGTGAGAAGGCTGCTTAACACTCGTATTTAATCAAGGAATCAGTTCTTAATCCACCTTGGCCGAAGCTTTGACCATTGGATCAAGAAGGAAAAATTTAAAGCTCATTTAAGGTGAGGATCGACATCTAGTTGCTTACAACTTGTAGGTTAAGCATGAGATTACCTAAATGCCTAAATCATGTTTTTCATGGATTATAATGACTGATTATTGATGAAATATTGATATATACTAGATAAGGAATGAAAATGCAAATGATTTGAAATCATATTGATAAAAATGGAGTTAAATGAACTATTGTGTGAAATAGTCATTTTTACTCATGTGTGAATTGTGTAGATACGTAAATGATTATTTATGTATTACATTGGATGATTAAGTTGCTGCTACACATTTCTAAATATGTAGGGATTTACAAATGAAATATATGATTGATGGGAATAATCTTAATAGTATTGGAATACTAGTTAATGATTGTTTGTAATTGTTAAGTAATTGAATCTAAGGATTTGATTGTAAGTGATGTACTTGATTGTGGTTCAAGTAACTAAATTGATGTAATATGAAGCTAAGATCATGATGAGGCAGTCCGTAAGGATGTCCCGAAATAGATTATTGATATTACAATTCTAGGCATAACGAGTGCTTAGGAATTGGGGTCTATGCCAATGCAAGGAGATGTACTTGAGCCCGATGCTCTAGAATTGCATTGGGTAGACATAAAGATTTGGTTCAGCCCATGTAAGGAGATGTACTTGAGCCCGATGCTCTAGAATTGCATGGGTGAACGTGACGTCGGAGATTGGTGGAGTAATTGACTTGTGAATGATGTGCATGGTGATATAGTCGAGTTGGACTCGAGGAATACAAACATGTGTGTTGGGGTTGAACCCTATGTATTGTCGTGACTAGGAGTCACGGGGTTGGGTTATGTTTTGTAAACAAACCTTGGGCCTACGGGCCGACCATTTGACTTTATATATAAGTAAGTATATTTTGAAAAGGGGTAACTTGGGGTTACGGCCTAGATTATATTATCACCCTATTTGAGGGTCTTGTGTTTGAAATACTTGTTGTATATCTATTAGATGCCATCCACACGAGTACTTTATAGTCGTATAGAGTACTGACCCCCTTTCGGGGGGCGGCCCACCACCATTTCAGGTTGAGGCTAGAGCTGCTACCTGTGCTTGTTGATCGGGCGATCATCTCGGAGGGAAGACTTGGTTCGTGCTTCCTCCATTCTGTTTTTAAACAATTTAAACATGCTCATGGATATTGTTTTCATTATGGAGCTTGTGTGCTCGTGTTGCCCCGTGTGGCATTTGTTTTCAAACTATGTTTTCCGCTGCGTATTCAATTACTTATTATGTATGTTTATGGATGACTTATGTGTGAATGATATTCGAGACGCCTTGTATAATATGGATGAGTTAGACTGCGGTTGACTATTCATATTGTACGGCGGATTGTTGACGTGTCCGGATAGGTCCAGAGCGTGACAATTTAATTGGTATCGGAGACTTAGTCCATAAACTTCATAATGAAGACTCAAAATTCTCTTTTCCCAAATGAATTTGAAAATCCATGAGCATAAATGTTTTGTACTTATAGAACTTTTGGTACTTGAGTTGCAATGTCTCTAATTGTTAAGATAATACCCTTAACAATTGGTATGACAGCAATTTGAGCCAAGTAGTGTCTTAAGTACCAATCCATCAATTGACATTTGATACGAGTCTAATGACTCTTTCCAAATTTCTTTCAGAAATGGACGGTGGTGGCAAGGTTACAAGAAGGAACCCGACGGACCGTGCACCGGTGGGGACCGGG